GCTTGGCTGTGAGGCGGCCACCGAAGAGAGAGCCCTCAACATCGGTCCCTAAACCCTAAACCCCAAACCCTAAACCCTTAAGCCCTTAACCCTAAACCCAAAACCCTACACCTAAACCCTAAACCCTAAACCCTAAACTCTAAACCCTAAACCCTAAACCCTAAACCCCAAGAAGATCTGGATGTCGGAGCTTTGGGATGTAAACCCTTCCCTTCTGACGACGTGACAACCCTCGCTGTCAAGGAGTGTGGGTCCATTATTCCTAAACCCTAAACCCCAAACTCCAAACCCGAAACTCCCAAAACCCTAAACTCAAAACCCTAAACCCTAAACCCTAAACCCTAAACCCCAAACCCGAAACTCTAAACCCCAAAACCCAAACCCTGATCATTGCGGCGAGGCGGCTCGACATGGGCGATCGACCTCGGGGTAAGCGCCCCCAATTCTTTTCGTTTATTTGTTTTTTTTTTCTTTGGGGGGAGGGGGGGGAGGGGGGTTAGGGTTTAGGGTTTAGGGTTTAGGGTTCAGGGTTCAGGGTTTAGGGTTTAGGATTCAGGGTTTTTGGGTTTCGGGTTTCGGGGTTCGGGTTTCGGGTTTAGGCTTTAGGGTTTAGGGTTTGGGGTTTGGGGGGGGGGGGGGGGGGGTAGGGTTTTGGGGGGATTTTGGGTTTAGGGTTCAAGGGGTGGGGGTTTGGGGTTCAGGGTTTACGTCGCCTTTCGGCGAGAAATCTCGACCATACCGGCTTTCAAGCAACCCAGATCTAGGGGCACCCTAAACCCTAAACCCTAAACCCTAAACCCTAAACCTTAAACCCTAAACCCTAAACCCTAAACCGTTGTGCCTTGGACCCGTAAGGCTGCACCCTTTGGGTTTTGGGGACCCTGTTTGAAGATCCTTCGCCGGAATAGGAGTCTGTCAAGTGGAACTTCTCAGGGGCACCCTAAACCCTAAACCCTAAACCCTAAACCCTGAACCCTAAACCCTAAACCCTAAACCCTAAACCCTAAACCCTAAACCCTAATTAAACCCTAAACCCTGAACCCTGAACCCTAAACCCTAAACCCTAATTAAACCCTAAACCCTGAACCCTAAACCCTACAGACCCCAAGCCCTAAACCTTCCGTTAAGGGTTTTTAACGGCCTCAAGCTAGACCCAAAGAGCCAAATATTGCTTAATTCAGGAACATACTTTAAATCATATTAAGGATCCCTATATGGTTTAGGGTTTAGGGTTTAGGGTAAGGAAATTCCTTAGTTGAGCAATATTGGGGCTCTTTGGGTAGAGTGCTGGGCTCCACGCTGCGCGGGGGCCCTGTCCTCACTGGACAATGGAAGGGTTTAGGGTTTAGGGTTTAGGGTTTAGGGTTTAGGGTTTAGGGTTTAGGGTTTAGGGTTTAGGGCTTAGGGTTTAGGGTTTAGGGTTTAGGGCTTGCAGATTATGATTGTTAGGGCTTGGGGCTTGCTGGGTTGGTTTAGTGGGTTTAGGGTTTAGGGTTTAGGGTTTAGGGTTTAGGGTTTAGGGCTTGCAGATTACAGGATTTATTGTTAGAGCTCGGGGTTTATTGGGTATATTGGGTTTCTTGGGTGTATTGAATTTATTGTGAGGGCTTGAGGTTTATTGGGTTTATTGGGTTTATTGGGTTTATAGGGTTTATAGGGTCTAGGGCTTGCCGATTACAGGCTTTAGGGTTAGGGCTTTAGGTTTATAGGGTTTAGGTTTAGGGTTTCGGGTTTAGGGTTTCGGGTTTTGAGTTTAGGGCCTTTGGTGTATAATTTAGGGTTTGCACTTAGGATACAGGCTGTAGGGCTTTCGCTTGGAGGCTGATAATAACTAGAGCTTGGGGCCTAGGGGTTTGGTGCAGCGCTTACTGAGTTAGCTCTTGGCTCAAAGGGCTCTGAAAAGCCTAAAGCTCCATACCCTGAACACAACCGTCAAACCCTAAACCCTAAACCCTAAACCCTAAACCCTAAACCCTAAACCCCACACCCTAAACCCAACTATCCCGAAACCCCACCAACCCGAACCCCCCAGCTTCCAGCACGAACTTCAACAAAGCTTTCCTGGCACAAGAGGCAAGAGGTAACTACGAGTGACGAGGGTTATGGGTTTGGGAAGGGTTTTAGGGCTTAGGTCACAGGAGGGAGCCCTGTAGACCCTCAGGCTTTAAACCCTAAACCCGAAGGCTTTAAACCCTAAACCCTAAACCCTAAACCCTAAACCCTAAACCCTCTTCGTCAATGTTTGTTTCTTTCGCCCCGGGTTTTGTCCCGAGTTGGGCTCCTTTGCCTTATTTCGCAGGCTGCAGCCTTGTGCTGCGCTTCAGCTGCGTCTGAGAATCAAGAGCTTGGGTTCGAGGTTTAGGGTTTAGGGTTTAGGGTTTAGGGTTTAGGGTTTAGGGTATAGGGTTTAGGACTTAGGGTTTAGGGTGTAGGGCTCCCTACCAAATAATGTCAGTCGGGATGTTCCCCTTATATGAACAGTCCTTAATAGGGATTCTAATAGCGGGGGGGGGGGGGTACTCTAATCCCTAAAAAAGACTGGGACATCCCAACATGACAACATGTCAGGAATGCAGCGGAGGACTTTGGTATGGGCGCGGCTCAGGGCACTTTGGGTCTCTGGATGCCCAGTAAGAAAGGCAACACGGTTTAGGGGTTAGGGTACAGGGTTTAGGGCCAAGAGTTTAGGGACAGGCGCAGAGATCTACATCCGTGCACGACTTAAACTTTGGGATGTTCCCCCTTTTTTCTAACAGTCCTTGATAGGGATCTCAGTACCCCGTATGACAACACAACCCCCATTAAGGACTGTTAGTATGAGGGGGAACATCTCAGCTTAAACTACCACTGCTTACGAACCCCCCCGCCCCCCCCCCCCCCCGGCAAAAAAAAAAAAAGGATAATGAGTCCCTAAATTACGCACCCCAATTGAGAATCCTTGCTTTTTCCGCCCGGGGGGGGGGGGGAGGGGGGTATTGGGAAGCCTTGTTTTTTTTTTTTTTTTTTTGGGGGGGGGGGGGGGGGGGGTGGTTCTTAAGGAAACAGTAGGAGTAGGAAAGCAGGGGGGCCCAGAGTCTCAGATTCTCCGACCTCCAACGTACGCGGAATCCCGGGGGAAAGTTGCTCTCCGGGAGCCGCGAAGGTCAAGCTTCTCCAGGGCTTCGAACTTGCATGTATTTGGTCAGTTCACCAGCACTTCTTTAGGCGTCTGATCTATGCGGTCGCGTATACATGAACGAATATATTTATATATATATATATACACACATATACATATACACACACACATAGTACATGTATTTGCGTATATGTATATATGCTACAAAATCACATCATGACTACACGATGACTACTGGCCACGATCATTACTCCTGATTCCTGCAGCAACGATAGCCGCCATCGTCAAATTGCTAAGGGTACTACATACCACTGACAAGAAAAAGGGACCATTTCTTGCTGTAGCAAAGGATACGAAACAAGGCAACAGTTGCCCTAAACCCTAAACCCCAAACACTAAACCCTAAACCCTAAACAACAAAACCAAGTCTCAAACCCTAAACCCTAGACCCGGCAACTGACCACGTGCGAAATGGGCGCGCAGGATCCTGGAGCAAGCTCCAGAAAAGCAAACATCTTCCCGCGAGGCGGCCGGTTGGCCCAACTCGCAGAGGTGGAGGGTTTCGGGTGAAGGGGCTTAGGAGTTTAGGGGTTTAAAGTTTAGGGGTTTAGGGGTTTAGGGGTTTAGGGGTTTAGGGTTTCGGGTTTAGTATAGTATGTAGGGTTGGCCATCGCAGGGGGTTGGGGTCTTAAGCCCTTGGAACCTATAGGCCCTACGCACGCCAACACCGATGTGTAAAGCTCAGGGTATTGCAGCGGAGTTCGGGCCGTTACGAGATTTCGTCGCGGTTGCGACGACTTTCCTAAACCCTCAAATCGCGAAGCGCTGCGACACACCCTAAACTACAAAACTCCCAAAATCCCATTAACTCATCCTCAAACAAAACAACTGCCGCCTTGAGAGGCCCTCAGCCTTTTCCATCCGACATGGCGATTTAGGGCTTCTTTACTCTTAGCCTTACCTACCCTAAACCCTAAACCCTAAAACCCAAACCCTAAACCCTAAACCCCCAAGAGTAGCCTGGGAACACACAGGGTGCCTTGTTGCTGTTTGGGTGGTTTGGGGTTTGGGGGGGGTGTAGTAGGAGACCCAGGCGTAACCGAGGAAAAAAAAGGTGCCCTTTTTGGTTTAAATAAAACGGGGCTTAAATCAGGGAACCTAAGCCCTAAAAAAAAAGGGAAATCGGGGCCCACTCCGGGTCCTAGTAGCAGGCCGAAGCCCACCGACCAGGGGCTCGAAACCCTCCTCGCCGGATCTGTAACACAGCGCACCCTACGAAACAAAACAGGCCAGCCACTTGGGTGGACCGGCCTGGGTTGCCCCCCCCAGGTGCCAAATGCCAAAAATGAGAGGGTTTAGGGTTTTTAGGTGTGAAATCCTGAAAAAAAAGAGATAAGGGGGGGCACTGAAACCAACCTTAAGTTTTAAAATTAAGTGCTCTTCTTATACCTTCTGGCCCCTGAAAATCGCGACTTGGTGTTTCTGGTCTGAGGGTTCAGATTTGGACTGTACTTCCGGTGTTGCGGTTTGGGGTTTACAGAGCACTGCACAGGGAACAGGCTCAACTAAGGGGCGAAACCCCAACCCAAATGCACATTAAATCACAAACTTGCCAGACATACATACCCCAAACCCCAAACCCCAAATCCCAAACCCCAAACCCTAAACACCAAACCCAAAACCCTAGAAACCCTAAACCCCATAACTCCCGAAGTGTGGGGTTTTTCGGCACCTTGACCCCTTGCCTGGCATCCTCCTGCTCCCGCACTGGGCTGCCAAAAGTGGTGAGCAAGCCCTACGGAAGTGGGGCTGAGGGTTGAGGGCACTTGCCCTAAACCCCAAACCCTAAACCCTAAACCTTAAACCCTAAACCTTAAACCCTCTAAGCCGCGCCGATCACTTCCCCTTGCGGTCCCGTGACGTCCACCGAGGGGGGGAGGATCTCCTTGCCGTGCTGGATCCAGATGTTCCTCGGTTTAGGGTTTAGGGTTTAGGGTTAAGGGTTAAGGGTCTTAGGGTATTCTGAACCCCATAAACCCAAAACCACCTAAACCCCAATTCCGGAGCTCGAACTGGGCATTTCCCCAAAATGGGGTCATATGCCCCCAAACCTACTAGAATCCCCTTTGCTAGGAATCCCCCCCCAAAAAAACAGCAACACAAAAAACCCTAAACCCTTGACCCTAAACCCTCCAAGTGCAAAACGCCAGGGTGAGAGCCCCTGCATAGTGCCCCACCCCGAGTGTCTCGGGCTCATGGCTCTAAAACTGACAGCTGTACCCGGCAATCCTAGGCTACTATTACCACAGAAATAAGAAAATAAACAAATCATCGATTATCATTGTCTTTCATATTTGTTGGGGGTGGGGGGTTCTTAAGCAAATTGTAGTAAGGGTTTGGGGGTTAGGGCTTAGGTATTCTTAGGAGCTAACGTTTCGGGAAGCCAATGCAAACCCTGGTTTTGCAGGGAAGATTAGATGAGGCACGAAATGGCACGAACCATCACGAACCAAGGAAATAACACGCAAGCCGCATTACGAAGCCATGCAGGCATTCATGCGGTAGCCGAGGCCACCAGCCCTAAACCCAAACCCTGCCAAGCATCAGGCAGCAGAATCCCATGTAGAAAAGGATGACGGCGTGGATAAATTGCACGCAAGGCTTGATGACGCAAATCGCGCAATTTCCGACGCCCTAGCGTGACCGGTGGCGGGGTGAACCCATCACATGCTTTTTTTGGTCTGAAGGTAAGTCTTACTCTTCAAGGACGTCAGCCCTAAACCCCAACACCTAAACCCTAAATCGGACATGCTCAAATTTGGGGTCCCTTTTTGGGGTACCCTAGATAATAGACGGCCGCCTTGTACCTAAACCTCAAAAAGGACCATATTTCAGAGAACTGAACACATTGGAGCCAACCCTGCGGTTGTCTTTTATGTCTTCTGGAAGCGATCTGCAACCTCAATTGGGGTTTAGGGTTTAGGGTACGGCACTAGCCGCAAGACACTGTAGGTAAGCGCCCCCCGAAACGTACACCCAAAAACGCCAACTAGGGCATTGTAGGATGCTGGCCGCTAAACCTGAAGGCAAGCGAAGAACCCTTGACCCTAAACCGTAAACCGTAAACCGCAAACCCTAAACATCCCTAAACCCTAAACCCTATAAACCCTAAACCCTAAACCCTAAACTCTGAGTATTCAATGCAAGACGTCGCGCGCCCGCCTGGAAGGCAACGCCGACTGAGCCGACCCCCCAAAACATCATTAGGATCCCCCAGAACCTGGGATGAAGGGGTTGTTTAGGGTTTAGGGTTTAGGGTTTAGGGTTTAGGGTTTAGGGTTTAGGGTTTAGGGTTTAGGGTTTAGGTTTCAGAACCTGGGACGAAGGGTTCTGTTACTGCTGGGGTTTTAGGTACCCTAAAGGCAAACTGCCATCAAACTCAAGGCTTAAGGAGCACTGTCGGACAGACTGTGCAGTTCGGAGAGCAGAGAAAGAGAACCCACAATTGCAAACCTTGGTCTCCCAAAGAGCCCAATATTGCTTAATTGAGGAATATACCTTAAATCATATAGGGATCCTTAATATGATTTAAGGTATATTCCTTAAATAAGCAATATTGGGCTCCTTGGGCTTGTTGGCTTTGAGGTGAACCCTATAACGTAAACCCGAAACTTTGCCGGGCGCGGAAAGGGCTTCTCTCTCTCTCTCTCTGTCGCACCCGCCCCCCGGACTTTCAAGTGCTTCAATTTGGGTCCATAGGAACCCTGTTCCCCGACATAGTACGCCCTCAACCCTAAACTTACTTCTCCAATAACCAAGGGGAAAAAAAGGTTAAACTTTAATATTTCTACTAAATAAGGAAACCCAAAAAGTTTAAAGTTCACCTAAAGGCGAAGTAAGTAAACAGTATGTCCCCGGAAGCTTAGGGAAGTATCAGGCCAAGGCAACAGCAAGATGGGCGGACACTCCTCGGCGTCACCGGGGCTTCCGGTGGTTAGGGTTTAGGGTTTAGGGTTTAGGGTTTAGGGTTTAGGGTTTAGGGCTTAGGGTTTAGGGTTTAGGGTTTAGGGAGTTACTAAGGTTGAGGATTCAAGGGTATCAAGCTGGAGTGCATGAGGTCTTGGGCCAATCTTGATTGCACGGACAGAAGACTCCTTTCATCCCGAAACTGAAATCCGCGTGCTACCCGGCTTCACAGCAGGCGATGATGCAGCAGAAGCAGCCGTCCTTGCAAAGCCAAAGCTCCATGTGCTTGCACTGAAGCAAACATTTCAGTCCACTCCCCCACCCCGCCCCACCCCCTGCCTTTTGCAGACCGCGAAGCAATCAGCGTTTACAGAGCATCAGAGAACCCAGTACCCCCTTAACTCAAGAAGATTGCTTAAACCAAACTGAGGGTTCTCAATATGACCCTAAAAGGCCAGTTCCTTCATTCTAAAGGCATTGAACAATCTGGGCCACTACTTCGGGAGACCGCCGTCCTTCTGCGTCACACCGAACCATCCCAGGTGGGCGAAGATATACGCCTCAGCCACAGAAGAGGGAGCTCTATTACCTCCTTTGGGGCAATAAACCCTGAAGACCTAAACCCTAAACCCTCTCCAACCCATGTATATTTAACGGCTAATGGCTCCGCGGTCGAGCATTGTTTTTTCGCGGTCAAGCACCAACATTTGGCGGACAAGCACCAACATGTCGTGGACGAGCACCAACAATTCGCGGACGAGCACCAACAATTCCTGGACAAACACCAAAACAAAGCACCAACAAATAGCGGACAAGCACCAAACAAAGCACCTACAATTCACGGATCAGCACCAACAATTCGTGGACAAGCACCAACAATTCGGGTTAAAACGACACCCTAAATCCTAAACCCTAAACCCTAAACCCTAAACCGTAGAATATGTTCATAATGTTTTGGGGTCCAATGGGTGGGTGGGTCGGAGTTAGGAGCTCTACCAGCGAATGCCGGTACTTGAGATGCTAAACCCTAAACCCTAAACCCTAAACCCCAAACCCTGAACCCTAAACCCTAAACCCCAAACCCTAAACCCTAAACCCTGAACCCTAAACACGGAGTCTTCTACATAGGGAAAGAAACCCTAAATCAACCCTGAACTCTGAGCCCTAAATACGGAGCCTGATACATAGGGGAAGAAACCCTACAAAAACCCTAAACACGGAGCCTTATACATAGGTGAAGCAAACCTTAAACCCTGAAACCCGAAAGCCAGGGCTTCTGAGAAAACGGCGGTTTGTTATTGGCGGGTCCTGAAGTCTGGAAGACCCCGGATTGATCACTACATATGCAGATACACGTACAGGGATATGTATACTACAGCCCGATGTGTGTATATATATATAGCATTGATACACGTACATATACATGCGTATATATATATATATATGTATATGCAACTGTATGTATGCATGCATCGTGCGTGCAGGTATGCATGCGTGCATGCGTTGTGTGTGTGTGTGTGTGTGTGTGTGTGTGTGTGTGTGTGTGTTTGTGTGTTTGTGTGTTTGTGTGTGTGTGTGTGTGTTTGTTTGTGTGTGTGTGTGTGTGTCTGGGTGTGTGCGTGTGTGTGCCTTATTATGGGGCAGTAGAAGAGGACCCCTAATCTACCCCTATATACCTATACAACCCAAGAACCCATTCTTCGGAACTATGTTAACCATAAACTACCCTAGACCATAAACCCTGACTTCAATACCCTAGACACTATAAGCACCAAGCCCTTAGCCTAGGCCAAAAACCTTAACCCCTAACCCTGAACCCTAAACCGGCCTATGTCATCCTATCTTCAAGCGAGGTGAGGATTCATGTCGCCAAGGGGCGGCGCAGATCTGTAAAAACAGGTTCACCAAGACATTGACGATGTTGACCTGCCCACCAAGTCATATGAACCTCTTTATTTGGGTTTAGGGTTTAGGGTTTGGGGCGTAGGGTTTAGGGTCTAGGGTGTAGGGTTTAGGGTTCAGGGTTTAGGGTTCAGGGTTTAGGGCTCAGGGTTTAGGGTTAGGGTTTAGGGTTTAGGGATTAGGGTTGAGGGTTGAGGGTTTGGGGTCTCTACCATGTGCATAACAACCCCCCATATTCTCTCCCTTATAAGGGTAACATAGGCACGAATATCTGCAATTTTTGGTGGGTTCTCAAGCAAATAGTAGATAAACCCTAAACCCTAAACCCTAAACCCTAAACCCTAAACCCTAAACCCTAAACCCTAAACCCTAAGACACTGGACGCAAGGTTCGAGTTGCATCTCAAAGGTTGACCAGAACACGCCATGCGAGCAGTTCTTTGAACTATGTCCCACCTTGTTGGGTACGTACCCTAAACAAGAGGGGCCGCCTTATGATAAGGACCTCAAAAGGGACCAAAACCCCTAACTCCTAACCCCTAAACCCCAAGCAACTAAAGAAATCACCATATGTGAGCCTCATTTGCAATTATGTCGATGATGGCCACCAGGATGGCGACGATCACTGCTACGTACAGCTGGAGTACACCCCACTCGCGGAAGGCGGTGGAGTAGTCTCCTCATCAGACTAAGATTTAGGGTTTAGGGTTAAGGGTTGAGGGTTTAGGTTTAGGGTTTAGGGTTGAGAGTTTAGGATTTAGGGTTCAGGGTTTAGGGTTTAGGGTTTAGGGCTTACCTTATGGACCAAATGAACCTGAAAGGGGTTTATGGTTCATGTACCTGAATAGGGCTTATAGTAGTACAGGGTATATGGCCCCAATTTTAGGGTTCATTTGGTCCCCACTGTAATCAAACCCAAGCAAGTGAACTGCTGAACCATTATGTGCGGCGGATAGAAGACTTCCCCTGAGTTGCTGAGTTCATGAGCTCCAAAAAAGTGCACACTTGCAGTTCTACAGGAGACTAGAGTATCCCAAAAAGTGTAAAGTGTGCTCACTCAGCTCCTGGGTCCCTACGCCGACATGATTTCACGACCCTCAGACTACAGTCTTGTATAGCAACTGGTCCATCAAGCGCCAAGCCCTAAACCCCGAAACCCCAAAGCCTAAGCCTTCAACCCTAAAAACCCCAAACCTCAGGGCCCCAACCGGGCTGGGTGCTGAGGGTTTAGGCCTTACCCAGATCTGCCCAAACCCCTTAATTAAGGAATATGCTCTAATTCATAATAATAATCTGAGTATAAACTAGGACATACTTCTTACTTCAGGGGTTGTGGACCCTACTTTGGAGTAGACCCTGGCAAAAAAGTACATACTTGTCAGGTAAAAGTAGCTAGGAACCCAGAACCAAAGAAATATATTAAAGTATAGTACTCCAAACCCAGGGAATAAGGCTCAGAATTTTACAGGCGCCGGGCCTTTGGCTTCATGTCACGCGCGAACTCCAAAGTCTGCGAGGAGTTTTGTGGGAGAAAACTCAACAACAAGGGGTTTAGGGTTTAGGGTTTGGGGTCTAGGGTTTAGGTTTAGGGTTTAGGGTTTAGGGTTTAGGGCCTCTCTCGAAACTGCGGTGGCTATCATAACAAGCTCATCTCTTGCCGTGAGCATCGAACGGAGGTGCCCATTTGTCCCACCTTGCGGCTCGGACGGCCTTTCTCTGCACCTTCGGATGCACTGCAGGGATTTAGGGTTTAGGGTTTAGGGTTTAGGGTTGGGGTATCTTGTCCGCGAACACTCGTGGTCGCCGCTGGTTCATGGCCTGCAGGTGGCTATGCCAGTGCACGCGATCAGGGCTGGCACGCTGGTCGGATACGTGACAATCAACTCCGGCCGGCAGAAAGCTCTGTTTCCAAACCGTCTGAGCAGGGCCTCCGAATCTGGCACTCCGTCGCATGATTTAAGGTATATTCCTTAATTAAGCAATATTGAGCTCTTTGGCCAGGTGGCAGAGCAGCAACCTACCAGACCGCTACGTGCAGCCTGGCACACCTGCTGGGGTAAGGGGGATAGGGTTTAGGGTTTAGGGTTTAGGGTTTAGGGTTTAGGGTTTAGGGTTTAGGGGGAGGCAGGGTAGGGGGAGAGGGTGGATAAAAGGGGGGGGGGGGGAGGTCTCCTCGGCAGGTCAACATGTCCTTGATGTTGCGGCAGAAGCCCGGCTTCTTCACGTAGCCAGTGTACTCATTGCAAGTGCCTGCTTCCAGCGCTCAGGGGGTGAGGTGTTTTTCGTTTATTGGAAGAGGGCGCCTGGCATTTAACCCTAGGCCCTGCTATAGGTCCTTAAGGGAGGGGCGGTCAAAAAAAACATGTAACGCAAGTTCCCGAATGCTCCCAAATAGTAATGAGGCTGCCTTATCTTTCCCAAGGTTCCCTAATGAACCCCGCCACCCCTAAGGACTAACACAACCGGATGAGCCCAAATCGTTAACACTCTCGACTTGGGATGTTCGCCCTTATACTAACAGCCCTTAAGTAGGGGTGATAATAGGGGATACTAGGCCCGGGAGTAACCTAGGAATAAAAGGGTGCCCTTTTTGGTTTGAAGGGGGTTATAAGGGAACCCCAACCCTAAAAAAAGAATAAAAGGGCCTGCTCCCTATAAATCCCTATTAAGGGGTACGATCATCCCTATTAACGGGTACGATCATCCCTAAACCCTAAACCCTAAACCCTAAACCCTATTTCAGGGGGAACATCCCAACTCTCAACCCCAAATCTCTAATTTGTGATGTCGACAGGACCTGCGGAGGATCCTGGAGAAACCGCTAGGATGGTTTAGGGTTTAGGGTTTAGGGTTTAGGGTTTAGGGTTTAGACTCCTAGACCTTGCAGCCCCTAACACCTTCGCTCGTGGTCTCGCGAAAGAAGTTATTAGGGAAACAGGCGGGTTTAGGGTTCAGAATGCCTTAAACCCGAAACCCTGAACCCCCAACCCTAAACCCTCAACCCTAAAACTTGGAGTTTAGGGTCAAAGGGGCTTGGGTCCAGGGTTCAGGCAAGAAGAACTTACTGTTGCAGGTGTGCAAGCTGGTCTATCCTTTGGCATGACACTGCTTTGCGGCAAAACCCTCAACCCTGAATCCTAAACCCTGAACCCCAAACCCCAAACCCTAAACCCTAAACCCTAAACCCTAAACCGAACACCGGCAGGGTGACAGGGCGGAGGACCCAAATTTAGATTTAGGGGTCCGGGCTTGGGCGTGGGAGGATGGAGTTTGGGCAGGGGGGGGGGGGGGGGGGTTAGGGTTTAGGGTTTAGGGTTTAGGGTTTAGGGTTTAGGGTTTAGGGTTTAGGGTTTAGGGTTTAGGGTTTAGGGTTTAGGGTTTAGGGTTTAGGGTTTAGGGTTTAGGGTTTAGGGTTTAGGGTTTAGGGTTTAGGGTTTAGGGAGTAGGGTTTTGGGTTTTGGGTTTTGGGTTTTGGGTTTTGGGGGTGGGGGGGGGGGGGTCAGGGGTCCGCTGTTTGGGGTGCTGATTCCAGGGGTACCCTAAACTAAAAGGTTCCAAATGGAAAACCCCAAGCAGGGCAACCCGAACCCCAAAAGTATAAGAGGAACATAAAGGGACTAGACTTACTTCTCCTACAACCAAGGGAAAAAAAAAGGTTAAACTTTATTATTCCTACTAAATAAGGAAACCCAAAAAGTTTAAAGTTCAGCTGTTGGAGAAGTAAGTAGAAGGACCCATAGGCTTCTTCCTCTTACATTCCTACTCTACTCCTGTGATTCCCGGCTTGCGGTTCTAAATAAAGCCCCTTCATAAACCCTAAAGCCTAAACTTTTCCTAGCCTTAAACCCTCGTTGCCTTCCCCCACTCTGGCCTGTGTACCCTAAACCCTAAACCCTAAACCCTAAACCCTAAACCCTAAACCCTAAACCCTAAACCCTGACGCCCCTCTGGCCTGTGTACTCGCTCAGCAAGCCGGTGTCGAGCAAATGAAGTACGCATTTCTTCGACATCGCCGATGGTGAGATGTGAGTCGCCCCTCTACGAACCTACGATCCGGTTGCTTTGAGCCAAGCGCCCTGTTTAGGGCCTTAAAACCACCTAAACTCTAAACCCTAAACCCTAAACCCTATACCCTATACCCTAAACCCCCCCAACCCTCACAGCGTTTTGGGGTTTAGGGCTTAGAGATGGGCGAGCCGCATGCAACACAGAAGCACAACCATCCAAATCCCTGAGCCCTGAGCCCAAACCATGTTGTCTTCGGTCTTGGGAGCTCTAGGGTTTAGGGTTTAGGGATTAGGGTTTAGGGTTTAGGATGCAAAGACAGGATCTGGAACTGCAATCGCCAACCCTTACACACTAGCCGCTAAACCCCAAGCCCCAAACCGGCTGTTGATGCATGGACGGCCGCCAAACCCGAAACACAAAACCCCAAAACTTCAAGCGCTAAACAACAAAACCTGAAACCCTAAACCCTACCTAAACCCTAAACCCTAAACCCTAAACCCTAAACCCTAAACCCTAAACCCTAAACCCCTAACCCCTAACCCCTAACCCCTAACCCCTAAACCCTAAACCCTAAACACTGAAACCGAGGTCGGCACATCGATCGAAGTGCGCGGCGGCAGTAGCTCGGCTCGTTTCGGGTACCCAGAGAGCCCTTTTTACCCCTTAACGGTTTAGGGTTTAGGGTTTAGGGCTTAGGATTTAGGATTTCAATTTAGGGTTTAGGGTTTAGGGTGGGGATATTTTTGAAATATGTCGGGATCCTTGATATGATGTAAGGTATGTTCCTTAATTAAGGGTTCGAAGGTGTAGGATTTGGGGTTAGTATTTTGGGTGTTTTGGGTTTAGGATTTTAGGGTTAGGGTTTTAGGCAATAGGGGTTAGGTTTTAGTGTTTAGGATTTCAGGGTTAGGGTCTTAGCGTTTGGGGTTTAGGGCTTCGGGTTTTAGGGTTGTTTTGTGTTCTATGGCTTTCGGATTTAGGGTTCCGGGTTTTTGGTAAAGATTTCGGCCTTATGGCTTGCTACTGTAGCTCTCCCGACAGCCAGACTTTTTCTTATGATGGCTCTTGAATAAATATGTACAATTAGTAGGCAAGAGTATGGCTGCATGGGTATCCTGCGTAGTGTTGCAATGTGCTCTACATCAAGGATCTCCTGAGCTCTGTGAGAAATGCGAAAACGTCATTGTTTTGGGCCTTCTGAATGAGGGGGGGGGCCTCCAAAACTTAGCATTCCTTTTTCTTGGGTGGTCCCCACATATGCATATAAATAAATAAATACATATATATATATATAGATTATGGTATTCTGAGGTATATGAGGGGGTGCCCCTATCTTGGGAAATACCCACTGCCTCCTGGACTCCCAGACCATATCTCTGAATACACCCCCGCCCCCCAAACCCTAAACCCTCAACGAACCAGAGTTTCCGTCCTCGGCTGTCATGATCCCAAAACGCCGAGGGCTATGGGGGTTCCCCTAATCAGGGATCATGCTCTTAGGGCACGGGCTTAGGGTAGGATGCTTCTATAGACGGCCTTCTAGATAGACCATCTACGAAACCTCGGTTTGGGTTTGAAGGTATACATAGTTTCATGGTCCCTAAATATGGGTCCTTAATTGTGGAATCCTTGTACTCCTGGATCAGAACTCATGTTTGCAGGTCAGGGATCATATTAAGGGACAGTTCTTAGACATTCGGGGTCCCTGTACAAGGACTATGCATATTTTGGGGAGTATAGAAGGGCCCCGATTTTGGGCAATACGCATGTAAACTAGAGACATAACGCGGCTAACCCAGTGTGGCCAATTATTTATAGATCCTAAACCCAAGCCCTGTATAGGGTTCTTGAAGGGAGGGGGCCTAAGCTTGGGGAGCCTTAGGGACTTAGGGAGTAGTGGGGGAGCAGTAGGGAACCTCGGGTTTCATACCCCCCCCTTGACTCCTGAGAACCCCATAAGCCCTGAGCCGTGTGAGCCGGTACTCCGCAACACCTGTCAAGCGGGCACCCGGCATTCAGCAGCCACTTGGGTGCTGGCCAGGGTTGGATGTCGGAGTTTTGCATGTTCAGGGCTTTTATACCTGAAGGCTCTAATGTAGTTCCTTTTTGGGGTTTGCTAAAGGGGATTCTAGCATACTACCCCCCAAAAAAGGTACTACACAAGAGCCGTTAGGTAGGCCTTGTTTTAGCTGTGGCAAGGAGGACGCGGAGGCCCAACCCCTAAACACCCAACCTACTTACAAATCCCTAACCCCAAACACCCTGAACGTCCTAAAGCGTCGCCCTCTTTTCCCACCTGATTCTCAAGACGGCCTGGTGCCTAACAGACCGGCGTGTTGCCGACGTCTGTGTACTTCCACTTCAAGAGCTGTATGTACATGGCTTCTTGCAGGGCCCACAAGGATACCGCGCAGGCATCTGGGAGGTTTAGGTTCCAATAGCTGGGTAGCCCAGTAACCATATCATAACAAAGGCACCCTCTTTGAGGTTGGCAAGTTTAGAAGGGAACCTTGAACCAAAAAAGAGGGAAAAGGGTACCACTAAGCTGCCAAGACAAGGTTCCCCAAGAGCCTTCAGCGAATGACTGCCACGGTACCTCGTGTTCCATGTTTGCGTACACGCGGGCGTTGCGCAACTTCCGCATTCTGCGGGATCTTTGCCTGCAGACAACGCTATACCCTAAAAACTAAAAACCCCAAAACCCTGAACCCTTAACCCTAAACTCCAAACTCTAAACCCTAAAGAACCCAAACCCTAAACCCTCAAAAAACCGAACCCTGCACCGGACCCATCTCCGAAGATCAGCTCTCTTCTTCCAGCCGATTTTTGGGGTGCCCCAAGTTATCAGGGGCCAGATACATATGCACATGCCTATATACGTATATGTATAAATAAATAAATAAATATACATATATATATATATGTCCATACATATATACATATATGTTTTTGTTGTTTGTTTATGATCTGTAGTCTTATATTTATGCAAATTACGAACCCTGAAACTTCCTGAGCTCTACCCTAAACCCTAAACCCTAAACCCTAAACCCTAAACCCTAAACCCTTGGGGGGGGGGGGCATGGTAGGGAGCTCGCTGCTCAGTCGAAGGCATAGGCCAGGCGGCGAATCTGAGCTTCCGACGGCATTGGTCCTTGGGACGTCGGCTTTCAGGCTTTTAGGGCTTATGCCCTAAACCCTAAATCCTAAACCCCAAACCCCAAACCCCAAACCCTAAACCCTGACCCTCAACCCTGACCCTCAACCCGCGACCCTCGACCCGACCCTCGACCCTCGACCCTCAACCCTAAACCCGAAACCCTAACCCGACACCCTGTAAACCCCAAAGCCTAATTTTAGAATATTTGGGTCTTCGGGTTTAGGGGAGCCCTGGCTGCCGGCATTACAGTCTGAACCCCCCCCCCCCCCCAAACAAAAAAAAAAAGTCCCATGCTACCAACCTTCTTTCCAAAGAACAAACAGCAGATCCGAGTGTCGGTTAAGTGGGAAGATCAGCCTGATCTGGTCCTGGCAAGCTGGGCTGACAAGGGCTCCCCCTAAACCCTAAACCCTAAACCCTAAACCCTGAACCCTGAACCCTGAACCCTAAACCCTAAACCCTAAACCCTAGTGCTTTCAGAGTTGGGGTTTCTGACCATAGGGGCAATGCGCCAGCATCACGGACCCCCACCCATGGCCTGCCCCGACCCCCTCTGTGGTTCATGGTGGGTTTCGGGTTCCCCTCCCCCCCTGTGGTTCAAACCCTAAACCCTAAACCCTAAACCCTAAACCCTAAACCCTAAACCCTTGTGGTGTGGTTCATGGTGGGTTTGGGTTTATGGTAGCTGTAGGGTTTTGAGGTTTCGCTCTGCCCAAGGGTTGTGGCCTAATTCGCCGGGATGAGGAGTACGTTGTTTACAGGGTGGGGCCCCCTTACTATACTAACTGTAGTTAAGGGACTTATAACCTAACTTAGGGTCCTTATAACCCAATTTAGGGCCCGTATAACTCTACTTATAACTAGGGGGCCCCACCCTGTAGGCCTTAGGCAGCAGGGTGATAACCTAGACCCGGAAGAGGGAAACTCGAAACCCTAACCCTGAACGCTAACCCTGAACCATAAACCCACCACCCACCACGAGCTACTGGGGTGAGGGGCAACCCTAAATCTACACGGCAACCCTGAGCCCTAGACCCTAAACTCTATACCCACCGTGAACCGCGGGGGGGGGGGGGGGGGAGGGCGCACGGCTTTTCAGCAACATCGTGGCAGAAAATTCACAGTTCTGAATACCACCAGTTCTAGACCCAAAACCCCAAAACCCCAAAACCCCTAAACCCTAAAAACCCCTAAACCCCTAAACCCCTAAACCCCTAAACCCCTAAACCCCTAAACCCCTAAACCCCTAAACCCCTAAACCCCTAAACCCCTAAACCCCTAAACCCCTAAAACCCCTAAACCCCTAAACCCCTAAACCCCTAAACCCCTAAACCCCTAAACCCCTAAACCCCTAAACCGAGCCAACCATACACCTAAACCCCTTGAACGCCGCTCCTAAGACCGAACCCAAAGCCTAAACCCTCGAGCCCCAATCTCCTCATACCCTAACACAAACCCTAAACCCTAAACCCTAAACCCTAAACCCTAAACCCTAAACCCTGAACCCTGAACCCTGAACCCTAAACCCTAAAAACCCTAAACCCTAAACCCTAAAGCCCAAAACCCTAAACCCTAAACCCAGAGTAGGCCCTGATTCCTTTTTTTTAGGGTTTGGGTTCCCTTATAATATGCCGCTTAAATTAAGACGGGCACACGTTTGTTTTATTCCTAGGTATCTCTTCGGTCTAGAAACCCCTAGGCCTTAACACCCTAAACCTCGAATCAGGGACCCGTAATATGAAGCCCCAAACAGTAGGATTCCCTTTTATCCAAAGGACCCTAATAAGGTAGTATCGTTCAGAGCTGAATGGCAATGCGTTGACGCTGCGCCGACAGTGCTGGTGGGTGGACACAAAACGGATTCTTGTCTTGAATGAGGCTTTGAGAGACATCCCGAAGCCAGGTCAAGAAGTTTGCAAAGAATCAGTGCGCATACTGGCCCGCACATCTCATCTCCAACCCCTAAACCCTAATCCCTACACCCTAAACCCTAAACCCTAAACCCTAAACCCTAAACCCTAAACCCTAAACCCTAAACCCTAAACCCTATATAAACCCGAACCCAAGACAGGAACTCGACCGTTCTGTATGGCCAAGGGCGATGCAAGGCCTGGTAGGGCATAGGGGATTCAGGGGGTTGGGGTTTAGGGTTTAGGGTTTAGGGTTTAGGGTTTAGGGTTTAGGGTTTAGGGTTTAGGGTTTAGGGTTTAGGGTTTAGGGTTTAGGGTTTAGGGTTTAGGGTTTAGGGTTTAGGGTTTAGGGTTTCGGGTTTAGGGTTTACGGTTTAGGATCCCTAAACCCTAAAACCAGGATTTAGTACCGGGACGAGGGTTTGGGGTTTGGGGTTTGGGGTTTGGGGCTTTCATGGCAAGCATTTTGGCTTAGAGCACCAAACCCTAAACCCTAAACCCTGAATCTTTAGGTCCCAAGCTTTATAAATTCAAAACCCAGAACCCCACACTTTGAAGCTTCCCAAGGCCTAAACCCTAAACCCTAAACCCTAACCCCTAACCCCTGAACGCCTACACCCTAAACCCTAACACCTGCCCACTCTACACCCTCACCCCAAAACCCTAAAGCCCTACGCCTTGAAACCCACACGCCCTAAACCCTAAACCCCTGCAACCTAAATCCCGGTACTCTAAACCTCTACTATCCCTAAACCCAAAACCCAAAACCCCTACAATTTCTATGTCGTCCTGGGCCAGCACGCACATGAAGCCAAAAAGATCCAACCTGCACTGCGACGCTTGGGAGGGTGATGTAAGGTTTAGGGTTTAGGGTTTAGGGTTCAGGGTTTAGGGTTTAGGGTTTAGGGCTTTAGGGTTTTAGGGTTTTGGGATTTGGGTTTAGGGGTGCTTTCGAGCCTCAGGGGGTCCCGAAAAGCCCCCTGGCCCCTCGCCGCAGCGTTCCCATCAAATGCAAACGGATTCAGGGATGGTGGGATGATACCAAACACATAGCGATGTAAAGCGGGGCTTGCCCATCGCCGGCCCAGGCCAATCGAAGACCCTCAAGCCTAAACCCTAAACCCTAAACCCTAAACCCTAAACCCTAAACCCTAAACCCTAAACCCTAAACCCTAGGGTAGTTTCATGGGCCCGTAATATGGTCCCTTACCCTCGTTACAGGGTTCTCATCTATGAGCCCTTGGGTTGTAAAGGGTGTATACCGGGCATAGAGGGGGCACCCTTTTGAGGGCCCATACTGGGTTTAGGGTTTGGGGTTTAGGGTTTAGGGTACAAAGGGACCGTGCCCTAAGAAACTCCTAAGCCCCTGAACCCTAAGTTCGGCGAAGTAAGCAAGAGCCGAGTTTCAAATACCTTCAGCCCTAAACCCTAAACCCTAAACCCTAAACCCTAAACCCCTAAACCCTAAACCCTAAACCCTAAGCCCTAAGCCCTAAGCCCTAAGCCCTAAGCCCTAAGCCCTAAGCCCTAAGCCCTAAGCCCTAAACCCTAAACTCAACTCTTCGGCCAACAGCCGAGGCCCAAACTTTCCGTCATTGAGCGCCAGCCGCGACGGCTCGTCACGCAGTTGCTGGACGATGGCCTTGGGAGTTTGGGGGTTTGGGTTTAGGGCTAGGGTTTAGGGTTTAAGGTTTAGGGTTTAGGGTTAAGGGCTGAGGGTTTGGGGCTTAAGGCTTGGAGTTCAGGGTTCAGGGTTTGCAGTTTAGGTTTTGTGAGGGAGCCTAACTTGCACACAGGTGAAAGAAAGGAGCCCCAGACTCAAGACTTTCAGAACCTGAGCTGGGTTCCCAATACTCTAACTTTATGCTTAACGTCCTTGAGTCAGGGTTTAGGGTTTAGGGTTTAGGGTTTAGGGTTTAGGGTTTAAGGTTTAGGGTTTAGGGTTTAGGGTTTAGGCTTATTGTAGTAAGGCGGGGGGGCGGGGGGGGGGGGGGGGGGGGCGGTTGGGGAGCCCCTCGGCACAACCTTCCGAAGCCTCGCAGCAAGAAAGCGCCTCGATCCCCCAGACTGAGCCCCGGGCGCTGCCAATCATGTAGCCTCAAAGAGCAAAAAGCTTAGCTGCGGAGTTCATAAGCCCCCCCAAAAGTGTACACTTTCAGTTCTATAGGGGACGATAGTATCCCAAAAAATGTGAAGTGTGCTCACTCAGCTACTAAGAAGGGGTCTAGGGGTTTAGGCGTTTAGGGTGGTGGTTTAGGGTCTAGGGTGGTCTATTTAGGGTATCAGGTGATTTGGGGCTTATATAGGGTGGTTTAGGGTTTCGGGCTTAAGGTTTCGGAGCCCTAAAACCTGCGAATGTCAAGGTTCCACTCCCCCACCCTCCCGAAGTGCCCACAGTAGAAGCCAGAAAGGGTGTAGGTTTAGGGCTTAGGGCTAGGAAAAAAGATGCCGTAAGTGAACAGTTAAATCAGATCTCTACATGGGTGGTTGTCAAAATTATGACCCCCTTTTGGGGTACCCTAAAAATATTCCGTCCCGTATTATAATAGGGGTCCAAAAACGGACAATAATTTTGACAACCACCCACATGTTGTTTGGGGTATAGGTTTCAGGGCCTAGGGTTGGGGTTCGCGCCACCATGGTTCGTCTTCAGAGGATTCCAGGTTTTTGGGGTTTAGGGCTTAGGGCCGAGGTTTAGGGGTTTAGGGTTTAGGGTTTAGGGTCTGGGGGGAGGGGGGGGCTGGGTTTGAAAAGGCCGCCTTGCTCTGCTGCTGTTAGAATCCACCCGGCTGCACGGGGGGGGGGGTAACCCGCAACCCTAAACCCTAAACCGCAAACAGTAAAACGTAAACTTTAAACCCTAAACCGTAAACCCTGAACCCGTAACCCTAAACCCTAAAATGCAAACCGTAAAAAGTAAACTTTCAACCCCAAGCCGCAAACCCTAAACCCTAAACCCTAAACCCTAAACCCTATATAAACCTTACCACAGAGGCCTTGGCAGGGGCTGTGGGTTCGGTTTTGAGTGAGTTCTGCTTCAATCCAAGGGAAAGCAGGGGTCTTATGGCCGAAAACAAGTTTAGGGTTTAGGGTTTAGGGTTAGGGTTTAGGGTTTAGGGTTTAGGGTTTAGGGTTTCGGGTTTAGGGTTTAGGGTTTCGGGTTTCGGGTTTAGGGTTTAGGGAATCCTTAACGGTAAATCCTGAAAACCCCAACAGCCCAAAAGCCCCACAAGCCCAACAAAAAACCAAACCCTAAGACCCAAAAACAATCAACCGTGAAGCCCTAGACCCTAACCCCCCCCTCCCCCTCTTCCCGGAGCCCCTAAACCCTAGCCCTACACCCTAAACCCTAAACCCCAAACCCTAAAACCCCAAACCCTAATTAAACCCTAAACCCTAAACCCCAAGCCCTCACACCCCGAAGATCACTCAGCACCTGGCGCCAGTAGAGGCGCACCAGGCGAACCTTCTTGGGCGCACCCGGGTCGGTCTGGCCTGGATCGGGAGGACATCGGGCCAAGCTTTAGGGGATGAGGAATAAGACTTAGGGTTTAGGGTTTAGGGTTTAGGGTTTAGGGTTTAGGGTTTAGGGCTTAGGGCAAACGGCTTGGGGTTCAGCTTGTGCACAGGTAGCTCCATCAGCAGACCTGAGACATGAAACAAGCCGAAAACCCTTACATGCGTCGACCCCAACATGCATGAAACTCTAAACCCTAGATCCTAAACGCTAAACCCTAAACCCTAAACCCTAAACCCTAAACCCTAAACCCTAAACCCTAAACCCTAAACCCGAAACCCTAAACCCTAAACCCTAAACCCTAAACCCGAATGAACCCGAATGAACCTGAAAACCCATGGAAGCCCCGAGGCTCTAAAACCAAAACTCCCCCAAACCAAGCCCCAACATGATTTACAAGCGCGGTTTAGGGTTTAGGGTTTAGGGCTTAGGGTTGAGGGTTTAGGGCTTAGGGTTTAGGGTTTAGGGCTTAGGGTTTTTGGAAATAAGCAGTGGGGCCATCTGCAAAGTATTCCAAACTGGCGCAACCCTTATCCCCAAACACCGTAGACCCTGAACGCCTAAAGCCCATGTACCCTAAACCTTAAAAAACCCTAAACCCTAAACCCTAAACCGTAAACGGTAAACCTAGACCCTAAGCCCTAAGCCCTAAACCCTAAACCGTAAGCCCCAAACCACAAACCCTAAACCCTAAACCCTAACCCTAAACCCTAAACCCTAAACCCCAAACCCCAAACCCAAGAAACCCTAAAAGGGGCGCCGCGCCTTCCTCCGTCTCCGCGCGCCACACGTAGTCGTCGTGATGCCAGGGGTTGCAGGCGGCCTCCGCAGTTTATAGGGTTTAGGGTTTAGGGTTTAGGCTTAGGGTTTAGGGTTTAGGGTTTACGGTTTAGGGTTTAGGGTTTAGGGTTTAGGGGACTTTTAGGGGCTCCGGGGGATTGGGATTGGGGTTTAGGGTTTTATAAGGTTTAGGGTTGAGGGTTTATAGGGTTTAGGGTTTAGGGTTTGGGGATTGGGGTTTCGGGCTGGTTTAGGGGTTTGGGGGGTTTAGGGTTTAGGGGCCTTAGGGTGTTTAGGGCTTAGGGTTATGGGACTTGTGGATTGCTGAAGTTTATAGCTTTAAGAGCTCGAGCCTTCTGTTGGGTCCACAAACCGAGTCGGAGGAACTGTTCAATTCCAGGGAAGGGTGGGGAGAGAGACGGGAAGAGGGAGGGGCGGCCCTAAACCCTAAACCCTAAACCCTAAACCCTAAACCCTAAACCCTAAACCCTAAACCCTAAACCCTACACCCTAAACGGGCGGGAGAGGGAGGAAGGGCTGTGAGGGGCACTGTGCAACCGAGTTGCGGGAACAGTACCCCCAAAACAGGGGGCCCTTGTATGGAACACCCGCCCCCCCCCCCCACCCCCACACTCTGTGTGTCAGCAGTCCCCCCTCTTCACCCCGATGGCAGGAGCCGCATTCTGACAAGGAGCCTAAGAAGGAGAAGCAATTCACAGAGGTGACCCATGCAGTCGCTTGTGTTCATGTTCAGTCCTCAAGAACCACAAACATTTGCTGCTTCGTTTTGGCACCCGACCGGACAAAACCCTAAACCCTAAACCCTAACCCCTAAACCCTAAACCCTACACCCTAAACCCTAATTTTTTACTTCCTCAAGAGCACAATCGCGTTGTGTGCCCGTCTTGGACAGCGCAAACCCTAAACCCTAAACCCTAAGCCCTAAGCCCTAAACCCTAAACCCTAAGCCTCTTGAGTGACTAGATGCGCAAGGCTGGCCCCAGTGCACCCCCGCACCCTAACACCAAAACACCCCAACACCCTAAGTCGAACACCCCGAATCCCAATAAATTGGGATGTTCCCGCCCCCTATACTAACAGTCCTTCACAAGGATTATCATAGGGGGGTACGAGAATCCCTACAAAGGACTGTTCGAAAGAAGGGGGAACACCCCAACCTACAAACCTTAAACTCCCCCCCCCCCCCCCCCCCCAAAAAAAAAAAAAAAAGCTCCCTAAACCCTAAACCCTAAGCCCTAAACCCTAAACCCTGAACCCTAAATCCCCCGAAGCCACAATCGCACCTCGATGCTCTCGGTGAGCAAGTTTTCATCGCCGTGCGCGAGGGCGTGGAGCTCTTCGTCGAGGGTGGCTGCCAGCGCCTCCATCTTATGCTCCAAAGATCTCCACCCATGACCTTGAGGGTTTAGGGTTTAGGGTTTAGGGTTTAGGGTTAGGAGTTTAGGGTTTAGGAGTTTAGGGTTTAGGGTTCAGGAGTTTAGGGTTTAGGGTTTAGGGTTTAGGGTTAGGGTTTAGACCTCTAAGCTGGACATGTCTGGGAGTTTACGAGAATATGGGGCCGGGTTTAAGTGTCTATAAGGGCTCAGGGTGTAGGATTCAGCATTGTCAGGGAGTCTAGCTTCAGAGAAAATTGGGAAGACCAGGAGAATCCATCGCCTGGCGGTTTTTGTGGCATGCCCGAGAATCCTATAAGGTTTGTTGTTTTAATTGCAACTATCCCTGGGTTGGTTCTTAGGAAAAGGGTGCTAGTGGAGGGTCCTACCGTACTTCCCTGAAAAAAATCATACCCCAAACGCATTTAAACATATTCCTTCGGGGCTTACATACTCGAAAACAACACATAATTCCTCGGGAATCTTTCTATTATGATACTTGTCTTTTCCTACTATACTACTAGTAAAAACCAATGTGTATATATATATGTATATTTATTTATTTGTTTGAATATTTATATATGTATTACCAATTTGTATTAACTATTGTTTACCACTCTATACTATTCAAGCAGAGAGGCCAGACACGGTGTGCCTCTTTCCTCTGTGATCCTGGTGGCTTGGTATCGTCACCTGCCAGTCCGCTCTGTCCTCCAGCCTGGGTTTTCATAAGCAAGTGGCTCCCGGGTTTAGGGTTTAGGGTTTAGGGGTTTAGGGTTTAGGGTTCAGGGTTGGAAAGCCCCAAGCACCCGTGCACCTCAATAGAAAAGGCTTGGGCGTTTAAGTACCTCCTATGTAAGGACTGTTGGGCCCCAGTATATACGAATAAGGTACATGGAACCTTAGGGAAGGGGTGCTCTGTTGTTTGCTACAAGGTCTTAGGGTTTCAATTGGGTTTAGGGTGTCGGGTTTAGGGGGGGGAAAGGGAACTACGATGTCTTTAAGGGAGAGGGGTTCAAGGTTCAAGTGTGGAGGGGCAGGAGATCTTGTGATCCCTGCAGTCTAGCCTCCAGAAAGTTGGCCCTAAACCCTAAACCCTAAACCCGAAACCCTACCTGAACCCTAGGAGTTTTCTACTCACTGTTTACCTCCCCCCGCCCCCCTCCCCCCCCCCCCCCTCCCCCCCCCCCCCCCCCGCCCCCCCCCCCCCCCCCCCCCCCCTCCCCCCGCTCTCCCCCCCCCCCCCCCCCTCCCCCCCCCCCCCCCCACCCACCCCCCCCCTCCCCCCCCCCCCCCCCCCCCCCCCCCCCCCCCCCCCCCTCCCAGTAGTTTACTGTATGTCCTCCCGGAGCCCAGGAGCTTATGACCCCTGTAGATGAACAACTGGCTGAGACCCGCCCTCCCGTGTCACATGCGCATGCGCCCCTACATTCGCAACCCTTTTCAGCCCAAAACCGAAAAACCCTAACCCCTAAACCCCTAAACCCCTAAACCCCTAAACCCCTAAACCCCTAAACCCCTAAACCCCTAAACCCCTAAACCCCTAAACCCTAAAGCCTAAACCCCAAACCCCAAACCCTGAACCCTAAACCCCTAAACCCTCAAATCTGCGTCCCCAGCAACATCCGGTTGAGGATCAGCGCCACGCGCGGGTTGTGCGCGTAGCACGCGGCGTTGGTGACGCTGCGCAGGTCGGTCCTCGCCTGCCTTCGCTGCCTCAGTCTGGCTGTCCTTGGTTCTTGAGTTAGCAGGTTTAGGGTCTAGGGTTTAGGGTTAGGGTTTAGGGTTTAGGGTTTAGGGTTTAGGGTTTAGGGTTTAGGGTTTAGGGTTTAGGGTTTAGGGTTTAGGGTTTAGGGTTTAGGGTTTAGGGTTTAGGGTTTAGGGTTTAGGGTTTAGGGTTTAGGGTTTAGGGTTTAGGGTTTAGGGTTTAGGGTTTAGGGTTTAGGGTTTAGGGTTTAGGGTTTAGGGTTCAGCATCTCAAGTCCGAGCATTCACTAGTCAAGCAGCTTGTCAAGCGTAAGAAACCCATAACCTTGAGAAAATACAAAGTTCACTCAATACATTCCCAGTAGTTAGTGTTTAACGGACCCAAAACCCGAAATCTAATCTAAGGCCCACAACAGGCCCTTTATGCTCTTAGGGCCCTAAACCCTACGGATTAGAAGCCCCTATCGGTGAAGGCTCGTGGTCAAAAACCCAGAAAACGACGCCACCCAGAACCGTCGATTTCAGTACTAAAAAATCGCATTTTTAATAGGGACCCGGGCCGATCCTGGGGCCCCCCTCATTTGAGGTGTTTTTGGAGGCAAACTTTCCCTTCCAAGGGGGGGTCGGAGTTTGAGGCCGAAAATCACCGTTGCCCACTTTGGAGGCCCGGAAAGTCACCGTTGCCCACTTTTGAGGCCCGGAAAGTCACCGTTGCCCACTGTTGCCCACTTTTGAGGCCAGGAAAGTCACCGTTGCCCACTTTTGAGGCCCGGAAAGTTACCGTTGCCCACTTTTGAGGCCTGGAAAATCACCGTTGCCCACTTTTGAGGCCCGGAAAGTCACCGTTGCCCAATTTTGAGGGCAAAGTCACCGTTGCCCACTTTGGAGGCCAGGAAAGTCACCGTTGCCACTTTTGAGGCCAGGAAAGTCACCGTTGCACACTTTTGAGGCCAGGAAAGTCACCGTTGCCCACTTTTGAGGCCCGAAAAGTCACCGTCGCCCACTTTTGAGGCCCGGAAAGTCACCGTTGCCCACTTTTGAGGCCGAAAATCACCGTTGCCCACTTTTGAGGCCCGGAAAGTCACCGTTGCCCACTTTTGAGGCCCGGAAAGTCACCGTTGCCCACTTTTGAGGCCCGGAAAGTCACCGTTGCCCACTTTTGAAGCCGAAAGTCACCGTTGCCCACTTTTGAGGCCCGAAAAGTCACCGTTGCCCACTTTTGAGGCCTGGAAAGTCACCGTTGCCCACTTTTGAGGCCAGGAAAGTCACCGTTGCCCACTTTTGAGGCCGGAAAGTCACCGTTGCCCACTTTTGCCCGGAAAGTCACCGTTGCCCACTTTTGAGGCCCGAAAAGTCACCGTTGCCCACTTTTGAGGCCCGGAAAGTCACCGCTGCCCACTTTTGAGGCCGAAAATCACCGTTGCCACTTTTGAATTAATTAGGGTTTAAATTCATTATGATGGTTTAGGGTTTAGGGTTTAGGGTTTAGGGTTTAGGGTTTAGTCTCCAAAAGACCTACCTGAGAGCCCAGACTTGCAGTACACGGTGGTAGGGTTTGGGGTTTGGGGTTTGGGGTTTAGGGTTTGTAGGGTTTGTAGGGTTTATAGGGTTTATAGGGTTTATAGGGTTTATAGGGTTTATAGGGTTTATAGGGTTTATAGGGTTTATAGGGTTTATAGGGTTTGGGGTTTCGGGATTAATTCGGGTTTAGGGTTTAGCTCTTTCAGCAAGTACTAGAGGGCACCACTTGCGGTCTTCGTGTCTCGCCCTGCGTGATGATCTCCCCTGAGAGGAACTGCTCAACGGCCTCTATGGGGAAGGCACGCTCGAAACCCCAAACCCGAGGCCCTAAACTCTAAACCCTAAACCCTAAACCTAAAAGCCCTAAGCCCTAAGCCCTAAGCCCTAAGCCCTAAGCCCTAAGCCCTAAGCCCTAAGCCCTAAGCCCTAAACCCTAAACCCTAAACCCTAAACCCTACCCTAGCAACCCAAAACCTACAATTGTTGCGGGTTCTTCTAATTTATAAGCAACAAAATATAATAGCATAAATAATAATAGTAGTAGTACCCCTTATGGGATTCTTAGGCAACCTACAAGAAAAAAGCAGGTTTCGGGCTATTAAGGTTACCCCCTAGGTCCCCTAAACCCCAAACCCTAAACCCTAAACCCCCAAACCAAAACCCTGAGAGGAACTGCGCAAACCCCTAAACCCCAGACCCCAAACCCCAAACCCCAAAACCCTAGACCCTAAACCTCAAAACCCTAAACCCTAAGCAACGGCCTCGACAGGAACGGAGTGAGTCCTTGCAGTGTCGATGGCATCAAAGAGGTCAATCAAGTCCCGCAGCAACCCGAAGTCCTGAGTTGAGGGCTTAGGGCTTATAGGGCTTAGGGCTTATAGGGCTTAGGGCTTAGGGCTTAGGGTTTAGGGTTTAGGGTTTAGGGTTTAGGGTTTAGTGTTTAGGGTTTAGGGTTTAGGGTTTAGGGTTTTTGATTTAGGGTTTAGGGTTTGGATTTGGGGCTAAGGGTTTAGGATTTAGGGTTTAGGGTTCGCCGCGTGAAGAACTTGACAGCTCTTCCCTTAGAGCCAAAAGTGACAGAGTAAAGGTTGCAGCCCCTGATTACTGCGCAACCCAGAAGCGGGTTGTGCTTTAGTTTTTGTTAAAATTAATCATGAACAGGTTCCTTTATAAAGAAAGAAGGAAAACTCAAAATTATCCCAAAACACCACCCAGAAGCGGGTTTGACTGACGTCCCATGCCGCGTCTTGACTTTGTCATCGGAGGGCGGGTGCTTGATCCAACGCAGCATCGTTCTGATATCGGTCCTCAGCTGTATTTAGGCTTCACTGGGGTAGGTCTGGGGGCCCCTATGGAACTGACACTTTTGTGGCTTTATAAGGGGTATAATTAAAGGGGTTAAGGGGATTGAAAGTTACAATATCATGTTCAGATCTAGCTCAGTTAGGGTTCAGGGTTTAGGATCGAGCCAGTTGAGATTCTTTAGATGCGTGGGCTCTTGTAGGTACTCTAAGCAGAAGGCCCCGTGCTATAATTGCCTAGGAGCTCATGAACCTAAATGTGGAATTCATGGGCCTGAAAGTGCCTCCTACATAGGGACTTTCGGGCCCAAGTTTCGAACAATGAGGTACATGGAACCCTAAACCCTAAACCCTAAACCCTAAACCCTAAACCCTAAACCCTAAACCCTAAACCCTAAACCCTAAGCTGTCAACCAACGTGCCCACCCAGCGTCTTCTTTGCAAAAGGGAACACTGCCTGCAGAAAGCCTCGCAAAGTGAGCTCTACGGATGCCGTGGGAGTCAAGGCAGCAGGCTTCTCCTCTGAGATCTCTTTCCTGACAGATTCGGGTTTAGGGTTTAGGGTTTAGGGGTTTAGGGTTTAGGGTTTAGGGTTTAGGGTTTAGGGTTTAGGGTTTAGGGTTTAGGGTTTAGGGGCTGGAAACTCCGGGACGCGACGCAACCACGAAAAGCAGACTTAGACAACGAACCACTACGCATCACCCAAAGAGCCCAATATAGCTTAATTAAGGAATATACCTTAAATCATATTAAGGATCCCTATATGATTTAAGGAATATTCCTTAGTTAAGCAATATTGGGCTCTTTGGGCATGAATGGCAGCGCGCCGGAACACTTCGGGGCAACCTGCTCCCGGGTAACGTGTATATAGCCTAAACCCTAAACCCTAAACCCTAAACCCTAAACCCTAAACCCTAAACCCTAAAACCTAAACCCTAAAGAAAGGCCGTAAACGCTGAGTCGCACCTACGCCAAAACCCTTAAACCTGGATACCACCCTAAAAGCAACCTCCAAATTAACACCTGAAGTGAAGCCGCAAAGCCCGAACCGGGTTTCCCGGAGCCTGTACACACTCCTGAGGCTTATAAGATTCCTGGGAATGCAGGTGTTGGAAATCACGAACTCACTGTTGAGTCATGCTTGGCAGTGGCTTCTCATTCTGCTGCCAACTTTGCGTGTGTCATCTTATCCCATGAACTAAACCCCCAAACCCTAAACCCTAAACTACCCTAAACCACCCTAAACCACCCTAAACCCTAAACCCTAGACCCTAAACCCCAAACCCTAAACCCCTGCGCCCGAGCCGCAGCATCAGCTCGATCTCGCCCTTCCGGCGATCTGCCGCTTCCATCTTAGTCATCTCTCCTAAGACCGGCTTAGGGTTTAGGGTTTAGGGTTTAGGGTTTGGGGTTTAGGGTTTAGGGTTTGGGGTTTGGGGCTTGGGGTTTAGGGTTTAGGATTTGGGGTTTGGGGTTTAAGGTTTAGGATTTCGAGTTTAGGGCTTAGGGATTTAGGGTTTAGGTTTTGGGGTTTAAGGTTTTAGGGTTTTAGGGTTTTAGGGTTTAGGATTTATGGATTTAGGGTTTGGGGATTTAGGGTTTAGGGTTTAGGGTTTAGAGTTTAGGGCTTAGGGATTTAGGGTTTATAAGGTTGAGGGCTTTAGGGTTTAGGGCTTTAGGGTTTAGGGATTTAGGGATTTAGGGTTTTAGGGTTTGGGGTTTAGGGCTTAGGGCTGAGGGTTTAGGGTTCAGGGCTTTGTGGCTTTGGGGCTTTAGGGTTTTAGGGTTTTAGGGTGCCAGGGTTTAGGGTTTGGGGTTTGGGGATTCATGGTTTGGGGTGTAGAGTTTAGCGTTTCAGGGTTTAGGGTTTAGGGTTTAGGGTTTGGGGTTTGGGGTTTGGGGTTTGGGGTTTGGGGATTCAGGGTTTAGGGTGTAGAGTTTAGGGTTTCAGGGTTTATGGTTTAGGGCTTGGGCCTTAGGATTTTCGGGTCTAGGGTTTTAGGGTTGAGGGATTCAGGGTTCAGGGTTTAGGGTTTCAGGGTTTATAAGGGCTTTAGGGATTCAGGATTTCAGAATTTCAGGGTTTCAGGGTTTCAGAATTGTAGGGAGCTGTGCTCTGAAGCGCCTCAGCCCACCCACCAGCACGGTGGATGACAAACGTGAGTCAGTGAGTTCACACTGCTCGCAACCGGCCACAACGCGGTCCTTTGGTCTGTCAAAGCAAGGTTGTCGGCTGCATCAGCCAGGTCGCGAATTGAGAAGACTAAGTCAGGATCAGAGCTAAGGCGGCTGCAAAGCCGCTGTACAAGACGATACGACCTTTCCCTGGCAGCTCAGAGACATTCACGGCGGCCCGGGGCCATAAGGGTCTTGAAGGGTCATCAAAGTGGCGGGATATAGACAAAATTAAAGGTGGCCCTGAGCTTGAAAAGCTAGCGTTAGGGCGTAGCGTTTGGGGTTTAGGTAGTTTAGGGTTTAGGTAGTTTAGGGTTTAGGTAGTTTAGGGTTTAGGGTTTAGGGTTTAGGGTTTAGGGTTTAGGGTTTAGGGTTTAGGGTTTAGGGTTTAGGGTTTAGGGCTTGGGGACTAAGACCCTGCAACAGACATCTCTTGAACAGGGTTTAAACAAATTCACCCTAGGGTTTAGGCCCTTACACAGGGCTTCAACCAATCTACCGAAGACTCTCATCCCTTCAGCCCTTGAACCCTCGACCCTTGCGACCCTGACAACCTCAACCCGAAACCCTAAACCCTAAACACCAACCTTAAACCCTAAGCCTTAAGCCCCAAAGCCCGAGCTCTTCATCATGAACCCTATCCAGACCACAGAGTACCCAGGCAAAACAAGGGGGGGGGGGGGGGGGGTGCCCTTGTTGGCTTACAATGGGCTTATAAAAAAAGCAAGAGAGGAATGAGGACCTACTCTACGCCCTAGCTATTCATTAACCCAAGCAGCATCCTTGACAAGCTTCCGCCACATGATAATTGCATGCTAGTAGATACAATATGCGAACGCACATAATGATGACGATGAAGACGACGATGACGATGCTGCTGCTGCTGCTGATGATGATGACAAAGAGGACGAAGACGAGAGTGAGGATTAGGGTGAGCATGCTGATGCTGATGATGCTGCTGATGATGATGACTACCAAACCCGTAGTGATAATCATGATAGTGATATAACTACCAGTATCAAATAAGGGCATACCCCTTAAGAAGAACCCTAAACACTAAACCTTACACCCTAGGCCCTAGCGTAGTAATAACCATTCGACTGAACCCCTAAACCCTAAACCCTAAACCCTAGAGCCTAAACCCTAAACCCTAAACCCTAAAGACCTCCGAGTCTCGGGGCGGATGAAGCGGCATTCCAGCCTGAAGCCTGGGGTGGAAATTACGTTTTAGGGTTTGGGGTTTGGGGTTTAGTGTTTTGGGTTTGGGGTTTAGGGATTAGGGTTTGGAGTTTAGGGTTTAGGGTTTAGGTTTTAGGATTTGGGGTTTAGGGTTTGGGGTCTAGGGTTTAGGGTTTGGGGTTTAGGGTGTAGGGTCTCCATGTTGACCCAAGGAGCAGCGAGCGCATACCCCCGCCCTCCCTGAGCCAGTACTCGTCGCGGTAGAGGTCGAAAGCCAAGAGGACGTCGGCCTTCCGAAGCTCTTAACCCAAAGAACTGGGTTTAGGATTTAGGGTTTAGGGTTTAGGGTTTAGGGTGTGGGGTTTGGGGTTTAGGGTTTAGGGTTTGGGGTTTGGGGTTTGGGGTTTGGGGTTTGGGGTTTGGGGTTTGGGGTTTATAAGTTTGGACCCGTAAGGTTGTACTCTTGGGATTGGGGACCCCCTTGTAAGGATCCGCGAAGGGAATTTAAGGTCCAGAGTAGGCCCCAGATCTTCCAAAACCCTTGTAAGGATCCGCGAAGGGAATTTAAGGGCCAGAGTAGGACCCCGATCTTCCAAAACCCCTGAATTAAGGAATATACCTTAGTTGATACTAAGGATCATGATTATGAATTAGGGCATATTCCTAGTTAAGGGGTTTTGGAAGATCTGGGGAGTCTATTAAGGGGCACCTCTTAGAGGGTCCGGGTATGACTTCCTTCACCCAAAACCCAAAGCCCTAAACCCAAAACCCTAAGCCCTAAACCCAGAACCCAAAACCCTAAACCCCAAAACCCAAACGAGGACAAGCTCCCCTGAGTAAGTTAATATGATCCTGGGCCTCAGCAATAGATCCCCTGAAGCCTAGGAATAGAGATGATACCTGTTCAAGGTTGCAAGTGAACCCGAAACCCTAAACCCTAAACCCCCTAAACAGAGAGATAAGGGCCCACTCTCGAGAGAGGTGTAGGGTTTAGTGTTCCCTAAACCTTCACTCCTACCCCTGCCTGCTGAACCCGAAACTCCGCCCGCCCGGGATTCCCACAACGTGTCAGCAACAAGAAGCAGTCCCGAGTCCCGAAACCCCGAAGCCCTAAGCCCTAGACCCTCAACGCGAAGGTTAAACCCTCAACCCGAATCCCCTAAACCCTAAACCCTAAACCTCAAACCCCAAACCCCAAACCCTACACCCTGAAAGCCCGGCCTTCCGAAAGAGGCGCCCTTGCTCACCCCCCTCGAGGGTGTCGGATGCCAAAGATGCCTGACTTGCATGAATTTGGCCGTCAAGCTGCTGGGCTTATAGGAAGGTTTAGGGTTTAGGGTTTAGGGTTTAGGGTTTAGGTTTTCGGGTTTAGGGTTTGGGGTTTTGGATTCCGGGTTTGGGGCCAAAGTCTGAGGCCGGGTCTCTCCACACTCCGAAAAAAACCCTAAACCCCAAACCCCAAACCCCAAACCCCAAACCCTAAACCCTAAACCCTAAAACCTAAAACCAATCCCCCCCCCCCCCAGTCATGGTGCTTCATCTCCGTCGGGGCTGACGAGGGAGGCGCGACAGGATCGGATCGTGGTGCCGGTACCTCTCAGGGATTTCGGGCTCAGGCCTGTAGGGTTAGGGTTTAGGGTTTAGGGTTTAGGGTTTAGGGTTTAGGGTTCAGGGCTCTGAGTGCAATGAGCCCTTGCTTAGGGCTTTAGGTTCAGGGCTTTGGGGTTTCGGGGTTGTAGGGTTTACGCTTTGAGGTCTAGGGTTTAGGGTGCAGTGTTTGGTAGTCCGGGTCTGGGCTTTCAGATTCAGAGGGCTTGCGGAGCCGGTTGTGGTTTGGGAAATAGTAGAGCTGCGGTTACCCTAAACCCTAAACCCTAAACCCTAAACCCTAAACCCTAAACCCTAAACCCTAAACCCTAAACCCTAAACCCTAAACCCTAAACCCTAAACCCTAAACCCTAAACCCTAAACCCTAACCCAGCAAGGGAAAATATGAAACATCCCAAGGGCTTAGGGTCTAGGGTGAGGACTGCGCTTTGGACTTGGCTGGATGGGAGGAACGGGGCTCCCGAGGTGGGGGCCCACGGGTTTGGACAGGTTCAGGGTTTAGGGTTTAGGGTTTAGGGTTTAGGGTTTAGGGTTGAAGGTAGTCTTTAGATCCATGCTGTTGGGTTCTGCGGGGCTCATGGGTTCGGAGCAGAGAGGGTCTGGGGTTTGGGGTTTAGGGTTGATGGTGTAGGGTTGAGGGTTGAGGGTTTAGGGCTTATGGTTTAGGGTTGAGGTTTGAGGGTTTAGGGTTTGGAGTGACGTACTTTTTTGAGCTTCGGGCTTGGGGTTTAACAAGGTTTGGGTGAAACCCCAAGCCCTAGTTATTCATTCCCTAAGCCCTAACCCTAAACCCTAAACCCTGAACCCTATAAGCCCTAAGCCCTAAACCCCCGGGGTAGCCCGGTTTAGGGTTTAGGGCTACGGCTTGGGTTTAGGGTTTAGGGTTGAGGGTTGAGGGTTGAGGGTTGAGGGTTGAGGGCTGAGGGCTGAGGGTTGAGGGTTTAAAACGCTCCAGCCCAGGGCACTTATTCGCCGGGCCTCATGGGCCGAAATCGAGCCATCATCCTGATCACCACACAGGGAAGGGCACCCTGGCCACCCTAAAACCTAAACCCTAAACCCAAACCCCAAACCCTAAACCCTAACTCCTAAACCCTAAACCCGAAAACCCTACACCCGAAAACCCTAAACCCTAAACCCTAAACCCTAAACCCTAAACCCTAAACCCTAAACCCTAAACCCAAACCCTAAACCCTAAACCCTAAACCCAAACCCTAAACCTTGAACCCTAAACCCTAAACCCTAAACCCTAAACCCTGAACCATAACCCTAGCCCTACACCCTAAACCCCACTTCCTGCACGCTCAGAACTGGGTCCTGCGAGCTGAACTCCTGGCGCACCCGGTCCTGGATGGCAAGAATCACTCTCTGGGGCTTCCTAAACCCTAAAACCCTAAACCGCAACCCTAAACCCTGACCCCTGTCCAATTAGCACGAAGGCGGCCCTTACAAGAGGGTCAGTTCAAAGGCAGCCTCGAGTATTCCTACAGTCCTACATCCTGAGACACAAGCTGGCGCCAAAACCTACGCCCAGTTCCTGTGCCATCTGTACTGTAATGATCTGCAACGCAAGCCCTCCTAAACCCTAAACCCTAAAGCCTAAAGCCTAAAGCCTAAACCCGAAACCCTAATCCTGATGCCCCCTCTTGGGGGTTCGCCAAAACATCTGGTTCCGGGGCACCGCCCTGTAAACCCAACACTGCTTCAGTCCAGGGTTCAGGGTTTGCAAATTTTTGGGTTCCCTAAGCCCTCACTGAACCCTAAACCCTCAACCCTAAACCCTAAACCCCAAACACCAAGCCCTAAACCCTAAACCCTAAACCCTAAACCCAAAACCCTAAACCCTAAACCCTAAACCCTAAACCACAGACACAACAAGCAAATCTCACATGCGCCTCAATGGTGCGGCTCGGTGCAGTGGAGCTGGACACCACGGAGTTCACGGCCGCCTGCCTGAGTGCGCGTCTTTCGAAAGTGTTCAGGGTTTAGGGCTTGGGGTTTAGGGTTTAGGGTTTTAGTCTGTAGAATTTGGCATTTGGGGTTTAGGGTTTAGGGTTTTAGTCTGTAGGGTTTAGGATTTGGGGTTTAGAGTTTAGGGTTACAGGGTCTATAGGGTTTAAGGGTTCGGTCACTCACAAACCCTGCGCCCTAAGCCCTAAAAAACTCCCAAGCCAAGCTGCACCCACGAGGGGGTCAGGGGCCTGGGCACGCCAGCGGGCAGCACGCCCCCCCGGGCCACGTGGGAGGAGCTGGCCGTCCAGAGGCGACGGCCCACCTAAGTGATTGGGGTGGTTGGGGGGAGGTTGGGGGGGACGTTGGGGGGGGAGGTTGGGGGGAGGTTGGGGGGAGGTTGGGGGGAGGTTGGAGGGAGGGAGGTTGGGGAGAGGTTGGGGGGGGGGGGGGAGGGGGGGGTTGAGGGGGTTAGGGTTTAGGGTTTGCTTTATAAGGGTTTAGGGTTTAGGGTTCAGGCGGTAGTGGTTTAGGGTTTAGGGCTTATCGGGTTTATAGGGTTTATAGGGTCTAGGGTTGAGAGCTTATGGTTGATCGTGTTCGGAGGATCAAGGTTTAGCACTCTCAGAGCTTAGGCTGCAGCAACGCTTTAGGGTTTAGGGTTTAGGGTTTAGGGCTTAGGGTTTAGGGTTTAGGGCTTAAGGGTTTAGGGTTTAAGGTCTAAGGGTTTAGGGTTTGGGGCTTCCGGAGTTCAGGTGTCTGTTTGGAGCATGTGCTGCACGTGGCGGAATCTGTGGGCAAGCTACGTGGTTTAGGCGCTTAGCTGGCTTCTAGGGTCTACATGCTTTACAGGGCTTTGAGGCTTGATAGGAGGGTGGTCTGGGAGGTTTCATGAACTCAAATCCAAAATCCCATATGGTGTGGGATCCTCACTGAAAGCCCTCAACCCCTTACACATTCAGCCTACTACCACATGCCATATCCTATCAAGGGACTAATAAGGAGGGACCCGTTTTAGGGACTTTAGATGACCTTAGGGGTGGGGGATATTTAAGGGGTACTTAGGGATATAGGGACTATACAAGGTATATACAGGGGTTCTATATAGGGGTCCCTCTTTTCACCCGAACTGCAAACTCCAAACCCTGCGCCCCCTCCCCTAACCCCTAAACCCTAAACCCGAAACCCTAAACCCTAAACCCGAAACCCTAACCCTAAACCCGAAACCCTAAACCCGAAACCCTAAACCCTAACCCTAGACCCTAAACCCTATAGACCCTAAAACCCCACCACCCCCCCAAAGTCTCGCCCCGAGCCGCCACCCCGCGCTTGTCCCGGGTGCAGCTGGCAGACTTGGGCCTGGAGCGGTGCCTCAGCCATGCAGGGTTTTTAAGGGTCTGAACCCCAAACCCTAAACCCCAAACCCCAAACCCTAAACCCTAAACCCTAAACCCTGAACCCTAAACCCTAAACCCTAAACCCACTAGCGTCCCTTGACCCCAAAACCTACACCCTGAGGGTTTAGAGCTGCAAGGAATCAGGGCGCAACAGGCTCTTGCCACGACCGGGGTGTGCAGGGGATAACATTAATGCGACGATCAATTAGCCTGGGCTTCTTAGGGTTTTGGGGTTCAAGGGTGTAGGGTCAAGGGTTTAGGGGTTTCGGCTTCCTTGGGGCTTTGGATCCGCGTCCCTAACATTCGGGTATCCTGATGATAGACGAAGTCCTCCTCCTGGTCTCTACGACAACATACGCCAATTTATCGACTAAACACCCTAAACCCTACACAACTAAACCCCTAAACCCCTGAAGTCCTAAACCCTAGACCCCTAGACCCCTAGACCCTAGACCCCTAGACCCCTAGACCCCTAGACCCCTAGACCCCTAGACCCCTAGACCCCTCGACCCCTCGACCCCTAGACCCCTAGACCCCTAGACCCCTAGACCCCTAGACCCCTAAACCCCTAAACCCCTAAACCCCTAAACCCCTAAACCCTGAACCCTAACCCCCCCCCCCCCCTCAAAAGAGGGCCCACAACGTGGATCAACCGGCCAGTCCTTTTTCATACTAACCCCAAACCCTAAACCCTAAACCCTGAACCGTAAACCCTAAACCTTTTTGGTTGTTGGGGGCTTGTGAGGGAACCTAAGCCCTGCAAAATGGCAACAAGGGCCTCCTCTGGGTCCTCGTAGGGTTTCCAATGGCTTTACCCTAAACCCTAAAACCCTAAACCCTAAACCCTCCCTGACGGCTATTCGTCCCAGATGCCAGAGCTTCTGCAACCGCCGGCGGTACTCCCGCCGGGCCACCTCGCCGGCATTTGAGGGACACTTGGGAGTTTTCAGGGTTTAGGGTTTAGGGTTTAGGGTTTAGGGTTTAGGGTTTAGGGTTTAGGGTTTAGGGTCAGGGTTTAGGGTTTAAGTTTTAGGCGTAACGGGTATCCCTCCTTTACTCGCCTAGCACACATCCTACACCCTAAACCCTAAGCCCTGCACCCTACCTGGACCCGCCGGAATGTGCACCAAAAAAAGGTCTGGAAGTCAAAGTAAGGGGCAATTGCCGTGGGGTTGAGTAGGGTTTAGGGATTTGGGGACTTTCTGACATTTTTTCATCGAAAACTGTAAAGAATTAGGTACGCTACGCTATATGCCCTCTATACCTCCCCTTAAGGGGTCGGATAGGGCGCCTAATTCCTTCTTTCCCGACTAAGAACCAGGTTGGTCTGGATGATACAGTACTAGCTTTGGGTTCTTTAGGCTTCTTGAAGTAGCATTTAAACCACAGAAAAGGACCCTACATAGCTTAACCTCTATATACTCCCTGGTCGAAGCGCGTTTGCAATCCCCAAGCTACAGGGCGTCTCTCTGGGCGCTAAAAGCTAGAGTTAGAGGGTTTAGGGTCTAGACCCAGGAGTAAGCTAGGAAAAAAAAGGCGCCCTTTTTGTTTTCAAGGGGTTATGAGGAACACCAAGCCTAAAAACAAGGAAATAAGGGCTAGTTCCTGGTCCTAGGTGTTTATGGCTTAGGGTAGTGACGGGTTCCGTTGTGGGGCATGGGCCGCTAGGAGTTTCCGGCTGAACAGAGCCCAATATGGCTTAATTAAGGAATATACCGTAAATCACATTAAGGATCCCTATATGATTTAAGGAATATTCCTGAATTAAGCAATATTGGGCTCTTTGGGTTCAGAGCCCTCGAAGCTACTTTAGGTTCGGGATTAGGCGTTGGGGTTTTGTGGGCACCCTTAGAGACAGACATAGAGAGCGAGAGAGAGAGAAAGAGAGAGAGAGAGAGAAACAAAGAGAGAGAGAGAGAGAAACAAAGAGAGAGTGAGGGAGAGGGAGGCAGAGGGGGAGGGGGAGAGATGGAGAGATGGAGAGATGGAGAGATGGAGAGATGGAGAGATGGAGAGATGGAGAGATGGAGAGATGGAGAGATGGAGAGATGGAGAGATGGAGAGATGGAGAGATGGAGGGATGGAGGGATGGAGGGATGGAGGGATGGAGAGATGGAGAGATGGAGAGATGGAGAGATGGAGAGATGGAGCGATGGAGCGATGGAGAGATGGAGAGATGGAGAGATGGAGAAATGGAGAGATGGAGAGATGGAGGGATGGAGAGATGGAGAGATGGAGAGATGGAGAGATGGAGAGATGGAGAGATGGAGAGATGGATGGAGGATGGAGAGATGGAGAGATGGAGAGATGGAGAGATGGAGAGATGGAGAGATGGAGAGATGGAGAGATGGAGAGATGGAGAGATGGAGAGATGGAGAGATGGAGAGATGGAGAGATGGAGAGATGGAGAGATGGAGCGATGGAGAGATGGAGAGGATGGAGAGATGGAGCGATGGAGCGATGGAGAGAGTGGAGAAAATGGAGAGATGGGGAGATGGGGAGATGGAGAGAATGGAGAGGTGGAGACGGGGAGACAGGGAAAAAGAACAACTTCCCCCAAACCTTCGGCATCCATGTTGGCCACCGCCCTTTTCGGGCCTGCCCTCTTCATCCCGGGGGCTGCTGATCCTCGTCTTCCCTTGCGTACCCGCCTCCTCACCCAGTCGAGCCTGGGCCCTCAGATCACTTTGCCCGACCAAAACGTCCACACTGCCTGGACTGTTCTGCACATGCTCTCAACCACATCCTTCACGTCGGCCGGGCTTTCGGGCAGCTCGTTCAGCAAAAGTCTTCGGTCTTGCTGAACACGTCGTGTTCGGCAAGACCGGAGACTTGTGCTCAACGAACTGCCCGAGACGTAGATGTATGAATGTGTACATAGAAATTTTGAAACATAAACCCCAAGAATGAACCATAAACCCGACACCAAAATCAAGTCGAAATCATCGTCCTTGCGGGTGCCCTTTGAGCGCTTAGAACCCTTAACCCTGAACTGATTTCTCACTCGGGGGTCGTGACTGTTGGGGATATTGTCCATCGGGGGGGGAGTTTGCCAGCTGCCTCTTCAGTCAGGGCTTAGGGTTTAGGGTTTAGGGTTTGGGGTGTGGGGTTTAGGGTTTAGGGTTAAGGGTTTAGGGTTAAGGGTTTAAGACTGGTTTAGGGTCGGAAGAGTACATGAGCAAAACCCTCGCAGAAGCCTCTCTCTCATCATTCAGTTAACGGCTTAAGGGTTTACTGGTCTTCTAGGACCTTTAAAGCCCATCAACCCTACTAAACCCTAAACCCTAAACCCTAAACCCTAAACCCTAAACCCTAAACCCTAAACCCTAAACCCTAAACCCTAAACCCTAAACCCTAAACCCTAAACCCTAAACCCTAAACCATAGGCCGCCCGCGCCAGGCGGCGGCCGGTACAACTGAACGCTACCGCTTCGAGATCTGCTTGCTTTGCCAAGCAGATCGAGCTTGCCACACCTGATGCATCCCTGCTAGCCATAGGGCACAATGTAATAATGGATTAATCCTAAACCCCCGACGCGCGACCCCGGCGGGGGAGGTCGGGCCTGAGAAGCTGTTGCGCCCCCGCCAGGTTGCCCCCGCCAGGGTTGCCCCCGCCAGGGTTGCCCCGCCTCCAGGGTTGCCCCCGCCAGGGTCGCCCGCCAGGGTTGCCTACCGGGGTTGCCCCCACCAGGGTTGCCCCCGCCAGGGTTGCCCCCGCCAGGGTTGCCCCCGCCAGGGTTGCCCCCGCCAGGCTTGTCCCCGCCAGGGTTGTCCCCGCCAGGGTTGTCCCCGCCAGGGTTGTCCCCGCCAGGGTTGCCCCCGCCAGGGTTGCCCCGCCAGGGTTGCCCCCGCCAGGGTTGGTTGCCCCGGCCAGGTTGCCCCCGCCAGGTTTGCCCCTGCCAGGGTTGCCCCCCGCCAGGGTTGCCCCCATCAGGGTTGCCCCCGCCAGGGTTGCCCCCGTCAGGGTTGCCCCCGCCAGATTTGCCCCCACCCACGTTTCAGGGCCACTGGCTAGGTCCTTCTTTGAGATGTTTTAAGGGGCTCCAGCGCATGCCCGCCCCCACCGCCAGGGTTGCCCCCGCCAGGTCGGTTGTAGGGTTGGATTCTGCGAGGGTTGCCCTCACAGGGTTGCCCCGCCAGGGTTGCGTTCGTCAGGGTTGCCCCCGCCAGGGTTGCCCGCCAGCGTTGCCCCCGCCAGCCCCCACCAGCGTTGCCCCCGCCAGGGTTGCCAGGGTTGCCGCCGCCCCGCCAGGGTTGCCCCCGCCCCGGGCCACCCGTCCCGCCCTCTTTCCCGCACGTTGCCAAGTTTGCCCTGCCAGGGGAGGGTTGTCCGGGTTGCCCGCACCAGGTCCGGAGCGACAGTGGCGCTCACGTCCTCGCCCCCGGCATCAACAGTGTCCTCGTCGGCATCCCAGTCAACATCACTGCCGGGGTCGCTGGCCTGGCGCTCTGGAGCGGGCAGTACCTGGTAGACGTACAAGCCGACTTCCTGTACAAGCTTGGCACGCTCCAGTGCGGGCAGCCTCGCGGGGCGTCTCACGCGCAGATGTGTGCAGTGTACTTATTTTTAACCTTTTACACATCTTTACAGTCCAAACAAGGAGGGGTGCACCGTTTCCATTGTTGCACGCGCCTGCCTTGCGAAGGGCTTTAGCGGTCCGGCCAGCTTCCACGGCATTTTGGCTGGACGCCCGTTCAGGAACTGCGTCAGCGTCGAGGGCGCCAGCTGTGCCAAGGCCTTGCGCCACGCAGCCTTCTCGAACATGCTGCCGGTGCCTCGCAGGAAGGAGGACTCACTGGCCGCTTCGTCCTGCAGCCCCACCCAGAAGGAGTCCAGCACAACCAGCTCATGCTCCGGGCCTACTTTCCGCGGCAACATCTCTCTGGCTGGCCCCGACTACACCAAAGAGAAAAAGAACCTTGCAAGTTCTTTCAGAAGAAAAGGGGCGCAGCAGGACTACGCAGTGTCGCTTTAAGCAGCATGACAGAATCATGACAAACGGAACTGCCCGCATGCTTCAGAGGACACAAAGCTTGGAAGTCCTAGGTCTTCTTCAACAAGACTTGACGAGAACACCAGACTCTTGCAGATGCAAGGAGGTTGGCCCCCCCAGGAAACGCTGATCTCCCAGCTCCTGCTGCAATTGCCGAAATCCTTGCCCGGGGATACCCCTGCGCAACAAGCCCCGGCCTGGACGGGTGCGACCACGCCGCCCCCCGGCCTGGTCAGGCAAGATGCTTGCCTTCCAAGCGAGAAAATACGGTGAACTGGAGAAAAAGACAGGCCCCGGCCTCGACGAGTGCGGCCGCGCCGCCCTCGGGCCTTGACAGGCGAGATGCTTCAGAAGCGAGAAATACGGTGAACTGGAGAAAAAGACAGGCCCCGGCCTCGACGAGTGCGGCCGCGCCGCCCTCCGGCCTTGACAGGCGAGATGCTTGAGAAAAGTGATCTATGAAACGACACAATCGAAAAGGCCCCGGCCTCGACGAGTGCGGCTGCGCCGCCCCCCGGCCTTGCCGAGCCAGACACTCCCTCGCCCATCCACGCGCGTCACCAGACGCCGAGATGTGCGTGCAGGGCGCTCTTCGACCCAGGGGTTCCTACAAGCGTCGGCTTCTGGCTCTTCTGCGCAGGGAACCTCGAGGTAGAGCTTACTTATGTGTCAACAGGTGCTCTTCCAATATAACAAAAGCCTCTTCGAAGATCCTCATGGATGTACGCTCGTAGATCCCTGGCTAAGGACGGACCGAAGCGCTTGCCGGCAGGGGCGGCCGAGCCTGAAATCTGCAACAATGGGGGGGTCCGTGCTGCCATATGAATTCCCGCTAAAATCACCGGGGGGCGAGCGCTTTGGGGCCTTGCACTTTCGGGCTGATCCTTTTGTCCGAGGGCCGCCCCCCGCCAAGCGCTGAGCTCTGGACCCCCTTCATATAGGTATAGAACACAGTCCTCCTGGGCAGGTCGGAGGTCTGGAACCCCTTCACATAGGTAGAGCCAATTCCTCCTGCACAGGTCTGAGCTCCAAACCCCTTCATATAGGTAGAACAAACTCCTCCTGAACAGGTCTGAGCTCTGGAAGCCCTTCATACAAGTAGAACAAATTCCTCCTAGGCAGGTCTGTGCTCCGGACCCCTTGTTTTTGGTAGCATCTGGCCAGGTCTGAGCTCTGGAAAATTCTGGGCAGGTTTGAGCTCCGGACTTCATACAGGTAGAACGAATTCCTCCTCTGAGCTCTGGAACCCCTTGAACAAATTCCTCCTGTGCAGGTCTGAGCTCTGGAACCCCCTCATATACAAAGAACAAAATTCCTCCTGGGCACTGATGCAGGCTGCCCCCCCCCAAGCTTGCTTCCGCCAGCTTGCCCCGATTGGCCCTGCCATTCGCAGGGCCCGTCAGGGTTGTGCCAGTGCCCCCGCCAGGTTTGCCCCCGCAAGCCAGGGTTGCCCCCCGCCAGGCCCCCGCCATGGTTGCCTGCCAGGGTTGCTCCTTCGAGTTGCCCCCACCAAAGTTGCCCCGCCAGGGTTGCCCACCAGGGTCGCCACTCTCAATGCACAGCTAGAGGAGCCCATAGGGTTGCCCCCGCCAGGGTTGTTCCGGCAGGGTTGCAGCCAGGGTTGCCCCCGCCCCCGCCCGGTTGCCCGCGCCAGGGTTGCCATCTTGCCGCCAAGAAATTTGTGCCTGTTGAAGTGTGTGTGCAGCGTCACCGGGAAAGTCAAGCGGTCTCTCACGCTGTTGCTTGGACCAATGGTTCTCTGACATCGCGAAAGGCTCTGCCCATGTGACCGCTGGCAAGGGCAACCTTTCAGGGTTGCCCCCGCCAGGGTTGCCGCCCCCGCCAAGGTTGCCGCCCCGATTGCCGGGCGATTCGAGCTCGTAAAAGCCCTGTTGATAGGGGGCGCCGCTCTAAACCCGAAAAAAGGCGGTACTTTGGGTGGCTGGGGTGGGGTCCGCTGCACCGAGGCGGCCCGACCCGCCACCACTCCCTGGCGCGGGTCGGGACCGCGGCACTTTGGAAAACCCTAAATCCTAAACCCTAAACCCTAAACCCTACCTCGTCAGCACATTCCGTGACCAGCTCTTCCCTGATCGCGCGCTCGCGCATCTCCAGGTCGATGGCGCTGTGCCTCGCAAGAGGGACTACTGGAAGACCCTAAACCCTAGCCCTAAACCCTAAACCCTAAACCCTAAACCCCAAACCCTAAACCCTAAACCCTCAACCCTATCCAAAACCCACGGACCTGTGAGTTTGTCGCATTTCGAGCTTGAGGTTTAAGGCGTTGTTCGGGAGATTTTGTCAACATGAGGTTAGGATTTAAAGCGGATGGGTGTAGGGTTTAGGGTTTCGGGTTTAGGGTTGGATGGTCTCAATTTAGGACTTGAAGCTTAGGGAGCATGGAAGCCTTGTTTGGGCCTTGCCTTGGGGTACGTAGGGTTTAGGGTTTAGGGTTTAGGGTTTAAGGTTTAGGGTTTAGGGTTTAGGCCAAGCGTTCCCCAAGCCCTGGGCCTTCTGAGCCCTTAACGCTCGAAAACCGAAACTCCGAACCACAAACCCGAAAGCCATAACACCACCAAGCTCGCAGCTACTTCATTGCTGCTATTTTACATTGGGTTTAGGGTTTAGGGTTTAGGGGTTAGGGTTTAGGGTTTAGGGTTTAGGGTTTAGGGTTTAGGGTTTAGGGTTTAGGGTTTAGGGTTTAGGGTTTAGGTAAACCCCTCACCACATAAGGCTTCGAGTTCACAAGAAACAAGGTTCTGAGCCCTCAAAGTGATCAGCCCTAGCAGATCAAGGTCACTTCCCGAACCCTCCCCAAGCCCGGTTTAGGGTTTAAGGTTTAGGGTTTAGGGTTTAGGGTTTAGGGTTTAGGGCCTCAACCCTGAAACCCCGAACGCCTGATAACCCTAAACCCCATATGGGGGCATTATGGGGGGATTTACGAAATGAGGGCACCTTGTTCTAGTATTGGGGTCCTTATTACAAGGGAATCCTACGATTTGGGGGGCTGTTCTAGTGGTCCCCAAATGTGTCGGAAACCCTAAACCCGAAACCCCTAAAACAGCAGAGCCGCAGCGTCTTCTCGGCGCTGGCCCGCTCACGTTGGATGGTCTCCAGCTCATTGTGGAGAGCCACCTAAAAGGGGGGGGGGGGATAGGGGTAAGGGTTTAGGGTTTAGGGTGTAGGAGTACGTAGGGTTACAGAGGGTTTCTAGGGTTTATAGGGTTTGTAGGGTTTATAGGGTCAAGAGGGTTTATAGGGTTTATAGGGTTTACAGGGTCTAGAGGGTCCATAGGGTGTGTAGGGTTTACAGGGTTTGTAGGGTTTATAATTATAGCGTTTTTAGGGTGTATAGGGTTTATCGTTTGTTTTTTCGGAGTTGGGGTTTAGGGCTTCGGGTTGTACCGCCCCATGAGCAGGCACAGTTACTCCCCCCGCGAATCTAGGGGTTTTACCTTGGACGCAAAAGGTTGTGCCCTTGAGTTTTGGAGACCCTTTTAAAGATCCTTACCCTAAACCCTAAACCCTAAAACTTAAACCCTAAACCCTGAAGCTAGTATAAGGGCCATATTAGGAGTACCCTTTAGAGGTACAATCTTAGGGGTGCGAGTCAGAATCCCTTGAACATCTTGGGGCCCTGAATCTTATTACCCTATATAACCCCTATGTAACCCATATATGTATATACATACCTTATATAGTCCATACACCTAAGTAGCCCTAAAATATCCCAAAGAACCCCTTATACCTCATATAGTCCATACACCTATGTAGCCCTTAAATATCCCAAAGAACCCCTAAACCCTAAACCCCCAAAAGAACCCCTAATGTCACTCCTGAAACAGCATACAGAACATGCCCGCTCCTCGCGGGAAGATTGCACAGCCAGGAAGTAGCCCCGCCGCCGTGGCAGTGGGGCATCCAGCAGATCGCCCTGGGGTTTTGGGTGTAGGGTTTAGGAGTTTAGGAGTTTAGGGTTTAGGGTTTAGGGTTTAGGGTTTAGGGTTTAGAGTTTAGGGTTTAGGGTCATCGAAACCCCGATCCCCTAAACCCTAAGCCCGAGAAGCCTAGAATCCTGAACAGTCACCCTATGGAAACCTAAGCCCCTGAACCCCCACGCCCTAAAAAAGCCCGAGCCGTGCACCCTAAACCCCCTGAATCATGCACCTTCGCTAAATCCCCAAAGAGCCCAATATTGCTTAATTAAGGAATATTCCTTAAATCATATAGGGATCCTTAATATGGTTTAAGGTATATTCCTTAATTAAGCAATATTGGGCTCTTTGGGTCCTTAAACCCCGAAGGCGCCGCATGTCCGTGTCACGCCCTAGCGACTCCAGACCCACAAGCCCTAGCCCAAGGCATACGGTGAACCCTAAGCCCTGAGAACCCTCAAAGATGGGAAGGCGGTCGCCTTCACCTAAGCCCTAAGCCCTGAGAGGGTTTAGGGTTTAGGGTTTAGGGAATTCAATGAGGGGTTTGGGGTTGAGGGTTGAGGGTTTTGGGGTAACTGTAGCAGGCTCGTCCAGCAGGGTTCACTAGGCACTAAAGTCTAGAAGCACTCAGCACTAAAGTCCTTAAGCCTACACAAAGCTCTAGTAACTCCAACACCCCAAACCCTAAATAACCCCAAAACCCAAACCCCAAAACCCTAAACCCCCTAAACTTGGGATGCTCCCCATTATACTGACAGTCCTTCAGAGGGATTGTGATAGGGGGTACTAGAATCCCTATCAAGGACTGCCTGTATCCTTAAAGCCCAAACCCGCAAGCCTGGGGAAGTCTGCTGGGCTCGCGTCGCAAATTGGCAGCCTCGGCCGCCACTTCGGCCAGGGTTTAGGGTGTATAGGGTTTAGGGTACGGGGTTTAGGGTTTAGGGTTTAGGGTTTAGGGTTTAGGGTTTAGGGTTATCTCTGAACCCTACACCCAAAACCCTAAACTAACCCCTAAGCTCCGAACCCTATAACCTTCTGTAACCTAAACCCCCCGCACGAGGCCAGGTGCTCCAAAGGGTCTTTAGGGTTTGGCGTTTAGGGTTGGGATGCTCCCCAATTTGCGAACAGTCCTGAATCAGGATTTTTAGGGGTTGAATCCCTATTAAGGACTGCTAGTAGAAGGGGGAACATCCCAAGTTTTGGGTTTCGTTTACGGTTTAAGAAATTTATTTCCACCCCCCACAAAAAAAGAATAACAAAACAAAAAAGCAAACAACAAAACAATGAAAGAACATCACGATTGAAAAGCCTCGTCCTCACTCCAAGTCTGATAGGCTAAGCCCGATATTCGCAGGATGTCTTTGTGGATGGATGTTGGAAAGACGTTTTTGACGTTGGATTGGACTTTCACTCATAACTCGGGGCGGCAATGACCCTTTATTTGAGAAAATATCCGGCGGAAGACTCGGATAAAAACATATTTCGGAAATAGTTTCCAAGGAAAATTTGAGAAGCTCTTGGGGTGGGGGGGACCCCCCTCGATTTATTCCTTTGAATGAGGAGAAGATCCAGGTTTTAATTTGGAAACTACTTAGACCTGGGAGTGTTTGTTTTCCATTTCTGGTATCCCCAAAAGGACACCCAATATACACGCTGACCAGTAATTTAGCGGGAGCCCCTTTTACACTCACCATTTGCAGCAAAATAACCCCTGTTTCATAGACCCAGAACCCTGTAAACCCCCAAAAACCCCAAACCACCCTAAAAAGCTTAAGCACCCTAAGGACCCTAAAAACCCTAAACGCCCTCAAAAGATTAAGCGCCCTAAAGACCCTAAAACCCTCCCCTGAACCCTGAACCCCAAGTCTTAACTCGACCCTAAACCCTAAACCCTAAACCCTATAAACCCTAAACTTTAAACCCTAAACTTTAAACCCTAAACCCCAAACCCCAAACCCTAAACCCTAAACCCTAAACCCTAAACCCTAAACCCTAAACCCTTGCAGGCCAAGGGGCGTCCTCGGACTCTTGGGATCCAGGCGTCTTACTTTCCGCAAGCTCCTTCCTGGGCCAGGGGTTTAGGGTTTAGGGTTTAGGGTTTAGGGTTTAGGGTTTAGGGGACGAGGGGGAAGGAGGGGGGAGGAGGGGGCAGGAGGGGGGATGAGGGAGGAGGAGGCGGGGGCCTGGAGGGAGGAAGGTAGCAAAGTGCAAAGTTCCCGCAAGCCCTCAGCAAGCTCTGAGCCCAAATCCCTCTACAAACGCACAAGGCAAGACCTTAAACCGGAGACATGGCCTTTTGCAAACCGACTTGGTTTTGAACCTTTGGATCCACAAGGAATGGACTTTATAGCTTTGGAGAATCCTAAACCCTAGACCCTAAACCCCAAACCCTGAAGCCATTGCAAACGCACTTCGACCAGGGAGTATGGACTGTTCGAATGTCAGGTCGATATGGGACGTTCCTTAAGGAGTTAGGGTTTAGGGAGGTTTTTGGAATGTCATGGTGATATATGGAGGCTGATACATAGGTACAACTGTCGCCCTAGCCCCTAACCCCTAACCCCTAAACCCTAAGCCCTAAACCCTGAACCCTAAACCCTAACCCTAAACCCCTAAACCCCTAAACCCCTAAACCCCTAAACCCCTAAACCCCTAAACCCCTAAACCCCTAAACCCCTAACTCCATGAAGGCCGTGCAGCCAGGAAGGTATGCGAAAGGCTTCGTCGTACGCGCCGCGCGCGAAACGGCGCAGCAGTCGCCCCACGTGATCCTGAGACTTGACCATCTTCATGAAGTCGTCCTTCGGCTTTCATCCCCAGGCCCTTAAGGGTTTAGGGTTTAGTTTATATAGGGTTCAGGGTTCAGTATTCAGGGTTTAGGGTGACCCAAGAGCAACCTAGGAATATTATAAATGGTGCCCCTTTTGGTAAAATTAAAAGGGCTTACACGGGAACCTGAACTCTTAAAACAAAAGGAATAAGGGGCTACTCTGGGTCCTTGTCGGTTTTTCTGTGTATACCTAAACAGGGCTGGTACGGTGTGCAGGCTTTTATGGGCTTCATAGGGCTTATAGGGTTTCTAGGGTATGTTGGGTTTGGGTTCTATAAGGGTTTAGGACCTGTACGGGTTTGGTGCTGGCAGCGTGCTTAGTGTTGTTGTAGGGAACCCTACCGGCCCTAAACCCCGAGTTTCAGGGGGTTTGGGCCACTTAGCAGCCTCAAGGGGCAATTGAGGCTTCTTCAGGAAAGCTGACCTTCTGCTTGGGGTTTGGGATTTAGGGTCTAGGGTCTAGGGTCCGCCGACCGTGGCGGCGTGTTGGATGGTTTTGGGGGAGGGAACCCTCCCCCTCCCCTTAAAACGTTGGGGGGGGGGGGGGAGGGGGGGGGTCGGTGCACAATTTTTCATGCAGGACTGCGCCACCCGCGCGGCGTAAACGCATCGACCATAGGCGGTTCAGCACAGGGGGTAGGGGCTCCTTTGGCAAAACCCCCCGCTCACCCCCCCACCCCCCCCACCCCCACCCCCCCACCCCCCCAACATATGGAGATCTCGAGAATGAGAGCTGCGCAGATGGCAAAGCAGATGACCAGCATGCTTATACCATGCAATGATGCAGACAGAGCATGCAATCATAGCAACGAGGACCCGGCGAGTTATCCAGGATCGCTTGTCCTGTGCAATGGAAGCACGCAGGGCCGACTTGTTAAGTATATCGAGCAGAATTAAGCTAGTGCATTTGCAAATTGCAGGACCGTAGTCTTCGTGACTCGAACGGGCAAAGTGCAAAGTGCAAAGCGCAATGTCTCCGCGTCGCTCGGTCGAGCTAGGTCTGCTCGGCCTGCGGCCATTAGGCCTGCGGCCTGAGTCACCAGCAAATCACATCGAGGACGAGGCCGGAGTCACCAGCCATATAAAATCACATCGAGGACGAGGTCGAGGAATCCAAGGAGCTGCTCGAGACCGACATGATCTCGATGTCGTTCGAGAACTGGGCCACGTGCCTGGGCTATAGGGAACTTGTAGGGATGTTCGAAATAATAAATTTATACATACATATATCTGTATGTTTGAATTCTGTGTCTTCCAAGTTGCTGTTTCTTCCGCGGCGGGGAGTCAAGCGGCGGGGAGGCATCAAGCGGCGGGGAGGCATCAAGGATCGCAGGTGTCGGCCTGCATCTGCACGTTACCCGAAACCCTATAATCAATAGATATCAACCCTAAACCCTAAACCCTATATATGCAATCCAAGCACCGTGACGTCGGAGCTATCGGATCCGATGGCGGGGAGCTTGGTGGCGGCCCCAATGGAGTACGTGGCGCAGGTCTATAGCAGCATACGCATGGTCGGCAAGCGGGGCCCGGGGAAAGCTATGGTGGGCGAGGGGCCCGGGGAATAACACGCAGCCAAAGCACCATGGGGAGTTCAGTGGTGATGGCGTACTCGGCGGCGGTCCTTCGGGTGCGCCAGGAATAATCCTCATGCCCGGCTGGAGCGGATACCATGGCCTGAGTTCAGCATGCACTGGTTTAAACATATATGACTTGTGATCGAGAGAGAGGTATCTTCTGCGATATTGCCAAGGTGCATCTGTCCGGGCGTCGTGTGCATCGCGATCGCGGGCGGTGTGACCGGCCCCGGGAACCTCGAGGATCAGCCCATGCATGGTTGTTATTAATAAGCTAGTGCAATCGCAGCTTGAATTAAGAGTCCGAGCGTCATGTGCATCGAGATCCCGGGCGGTGTGGCCGGCGCCGGGAACCTCGAGGATCAGCCCATATAATAAGCTAGTGCACTTGCAGCTTGAATCCGTTGTTCGCTTTCGGGCCCCTCATCCTTTTAGCCAAGGTGCCCTTCCGGGACGGTATGCAGCCTGCATGGAGATCACAGAACATGAGTGCATCCATGAACCTGCATATCAAGCCGCGGCCTGGAGCTCGAGCCGTCGCTCCATGATGGCGTGGGGATCTGGATGGGCCTCGATCGACACGGTTTAGGGTTTAGGGTTTATAGGGTTTAGGGTTTAGGGCCATGGCCTGGTGCTCGAGTCGCTCCCCGAGGTGTACGACCTCAGCTGCTATATAGGGTTTATAGGGTTTACGGTTTTAGGGCCATGGCATGCAGGATCCATGTGCCGCGGGGCTGCATCAGATCCCGGTTCGGGGGGGGGAGGGGCTTGCCGCTTAGCTGAGGGACCACGGCACATCGTGCCGGATTTCGCAGGACACGCAGGAAAACTGCAACCTCTTCACTTCCCCGCCTTTACACCCCCAAAAACCTTAAAACGTAAAACGCGGGGGGGGGGCGGGGCCGGGTGGGTCGGTGGAGGACCGCGCCACCCGCACGACGTAAACGCATCGACCGGAAGCGGTTCAGCACAGGGGGTTGCCATGTTGCAACCTTACGCCAACTCCAACAGTTCGAAGCCTCTACCCCCCCATTCCCACAACACGTCCTCCAACCCCCGAACCCTGGTTTAGGTGTAGAGTTTAGCGTTTAGGCTTTGGGTAACAACCATTTCCGGCTTTGAGGGTTGAGAGGTTTTGGGCCTCTTGGGTCGGCGGCCTGAGCCGGAGGCTCCTAAATTTAGGGTTTTGGGTGTTCTGTAGGTCTGTGGTAGACAATCCTCTTCTACGGACTGTTATATGCAGCCTCCCAAAAACATAGGGTGCTTTGAATAGCTATTAGGATGCTCATGGTGTCCTTGGACATTTCGGAGTCATAGGCGCGGAAGAGGCCGAACGCCAGGGAGTCCAAGACGTGCTTCCTCGGAAGCACCGGGCGGCGAATGCCGCTGCCCAGGCGCACGGCTGCCGCCAGAAAAGATGACACCGCCTGCAAAGGGCTAAGGGGGATGTTTGGGGTGTGGAGCTTTCGGGATTTGAGGGTTTAGGGTGTAGGGCTTTAGGGATTGAGGGTTTAGGGATTTGGGGGTTTAGGGATTGAGGGTTTGAGGGGTGTGAGGGTGTAGGGGTTCGCAGTCAGATGGCTTTCGAACGGTTCCCTAAGGTTCAATGATCCCCCGCCTCCCCCTCCCCCCGCCGCTCCCCCACACCTAAGCCCCCAACACCAAACCCTAAACCCTAAACCCTAAACCCGGAGGCCTGGAAGAAGTGCTCCAGCTGTAGGCGGCCCTCGCCACTGAAATCGCAGAGGTCGAAGATCAAGCGCGCCTTCGTGAAGGCATGCGTGCGGCTTGCCTCAGGGCCCCAGCCGGTTTAGGGTTTAGGGTTTAGGGGTTAGGGTTTAGGGTTTGGGGTTCAGGGTTTAGGGTTCAAAACAGAGACTCTCAACCCAAAGCCCAAAAACTAAACCTCTAAACCCTTAAACCAAAACCTTAAACCAACAACCCTAAACCTCATAAACCTTAGATTCGTTTAGATCCTAACTCCCTAAATGCGTGAACCCTAAACAGATTTATTAGGGTTTAGGGTTTAGGGTTTAGGGTTTAGGGTTTAGGGTTTAGGGTTTAGGGTTTAGGGTCCCCCCCCTTTCTTCGGCCCACAGGCACCAGAACCAGCGTCGCCAGCAGCTCCCGGGTTGGAAGGCACCTAGGATGGCCCCTAACCTCTCTGAAAACTGTTTCTCAAACCCTAAACCCTATACCCTAGACCCTAAACACCAAACACCCTAAACCCTAAACCCGAAACCCTAAACCCTAAGCCCTAAACCCTAAACCCTAAACCCTGAACCCAAATAAGGGATATGTAAAAACGCCCCAAGGGCGTACCTAGGCACTTCTGCCCAGCCGTCAACTGCCTGGCCGCCCGCGCATCCAGGGGGAGCTGATCGCAGATGTCCTTAAGTCAAAAAAGGCCTTGGGTTTCCCTAAGCCCTAAACCCTAAACCCTAAACCCTAAACCCTAAACCTAAACCCTAAACCCTAAACCCAGTAGATTAAACCCTCCCCACTCCTCCACGCAGACCGAGTCTTCACCGCCGAAACGCTGGTATGCGGCGCACACCTGGGACAAGCGGGCTTTGGGTTGAAGAAATCGTATGGGTCAGAGCCTCCTCCTCCAGCGGGACAGGGTTTAGGGTTTAGGGTTTAGGGTTTAGGGTTTAGGGTTTAGGGTTTAGGGTTTAGGGTTTCGGGTTTAGGGTTTAGGGTGTTTGGTGTTTAGGGTTTAGGGTTTCGGGTGTAGGGTTTAGGGTTTAGGGTGCGAATGCGACTCTAAACCAGGGCACCCTTTTTTGGGATGAGGGTTTAGAGTTTAGGGTTTAGGGATATTTTATAAGGGAAACCAGACCCAAAATAAAGGGTAAAGGGTACGACTGGGCTGCCAAGAATGGGTTCCTTTGTTAGGGTGCCTCGAGGTTTTAGTTTATACTGCCTCAATTACTACCAACGTCGTCCACGAACACGTGATATATGCAGCTATAGTTCGTTCTACCACGACCCCCTAGTATAGGCCCCCAAATAGTAGGATCCCCTTATAAGGTTTAGGGTTTTAAGGGTTTAAGGTTGGGATGTTCCGTGATATATGCAGCTATACACGACCCCCTAGTATAGGCCCCCAAATAGTAGGATTCCCTTATAAGGTTTAGGGTTTTAAGGGTTTAAGGTTGGGATGTTCCCCCTTGTACTAACAGTCCTTAATAGGAATGATAATAGGGGTACTATAGTCCCTATTAAGGACTGTTAGTATAGAAGGGGGAACATCCCAAGTTTAGGGAATTAAAGGTCAACCTTTGGGATTTTTATATGGATTAGACTACCCCATAAAAAGGCTAAAGGTTGCCTACTCTACTACTAAGATACGACCTTTGGGAGAGTTACCCTAAACCCTAACCCTAAACCCTAAACCCTAAACCCCCCTAAACCCTAAACCCTAAACCCTAAACCGAGGGACCTCCGACAGGCTCACGCTCAGCAGCGGCTGCAGAGCCGCGGGCAGATCGGCGGGTCCCACGGCCAAGGACTCTAAGAGCGACTGTGCCTGGCGCCGAAGCCCTAAACCCTAAACCCTAAACCCTAAACCCTAAACCCTAAACGCTAAACCCTATAGAACCCTTATAGAACCCTTATAGAACCCTTATAGAACCTCTTATAGAACCCTACAGAAACCTTAACAAACCCTATAGAACCCTTACACCCTGCAGAACACTTACACCCTATAGAGCCCTTAACCCTAAAGACCTGAAAGAACCTGTAAACCCTTCACCCAATGAAAAGCCCTAGAAGCTTCAGGGGTTCGGGCAACCCCAAACCCTTACCCTTACAAGGAAGAATATCACCATTTTGTTTGGGGTGGTTTAAGCAAATAGTAGCCCTAAACCCTAAACCCGAAATCCTAAACCCTGCTAAAGTTAGGGGGATGGGGGGGGGGGGGGTTCTTGAGCAAATCGCAGTTGATGGTACGTGTTTGGGAAAGTCCGGACCCCAACAAAGCGTAGCTCCAACAGCGGCACGCCTGGCCGATACCGGCGGTGGAAGCGGTAGAGCCCATGCAGCGTGACGGTTTTTGGTTTAGGGTTTAGGGTTTAGGGTTTGGGGTTTGGGGTTTGGGGTTTGGGGTTTGGGGTTTGGGGTTTGGGGTTTGGGGTTTAGGGTTTAGGGTTTAGGTTGCTGTATTTTAGGGTTCAGGGGTTCAGGGTCTACTTGTCGCAGAGTCTTCTGAGCGACGACTACAAATTGAAGGGCCAGGTGTTATCAGTTGCAACTAGACTTATTTGCAGTAACATTTCCCGACACCTAAGCCTTAAGCCAGGCAGCGCTTTCCGACACTGAACCCTGAACCTTGCAATCCACCCTAAACCATGAACCCTAAAACCTAAACCCGACACTGCTGATCCCATCAAGAGCCTGATTTGAGCAGCAGGAGAATCAACTCATTGCAGCAGCCGCATTCTCGCTAGGTCGGCTATTCTAAGCCCCAAGACCCACTCTGTTGGAGGACAGCCCAGCCCAGCAAAACCCTAAACACTAAACCCTAACCCCAAAACCCTGAACCCTAAACCCTAAACCATGAACCCTAAACCCAAAAGAATACAAGCAGGCGGTCTCTTATCCCAGTACAGACATGGCCACCTCCACTTCTTTGCACTTGGTGAGACATAACCTTCGGTGAAACGATGACCCGGCTGCTCTGAGGGTAGCTTAGCATCGTCCCTTAGTATGGGTATAGGGTTTAGGGTTTAGGGTTGAGGGTTCAGGGTTTAGGGTTTAGGGTTTAGGGTTTAGGGACCGTAAAGAGGGACCCTTACCCAAGGGCCCCATGCTTCAGAACCCCTGATAGAAGGTTAAGGGACCATGTTCAGGGCCCATGTAACTGCAACTGCCCGACCCTAAACCCTAAACCCTAAACCCTAAACCCTAAACCCTAAACACTAAACCCTAAACCCTAAACCCCTAAGAGCTACCAGGCTCAAGGAGCGTTATCAGGAGGCACCGCTCGTGCTGAGGCCTTGGCAACTCAAGAACCCAAGGCCAACGTGCTTGGGTTTAGGGTTTAGGGTTTAGGGTTTAGGGTTTAGGGTTTAGGGTTTAGGGTTTAGGGTTTAGGGTTTAGGGTTTAGGGTTTAGGGTTTAGGGTTTAGGGTTTAGGACTTAGGGTTTAGGGTTTAGGGTTTAGGGTTTAGGGTTTAGGGTTTAGGGTTTAGGGTGGGTAAGAATAAGGGCCCTTTGCTTGTAAAACTTCTAAGAGGTTGGGTTCTGGAAGTGGTTAAAAAGTCTAACTCGGGGGTGGTTTCAGTACATTGTAGGTAACATATGACCCCAAACCCTAAACCCTAAACCCTAAGGACGTCTTCCAGAAGGGCTTGCTGGGAACGGACGGTAGATGTGCCACGGCGTGGTGGAACCAGCCAGGCCCTGCCTGGTGCACCTGCATCAGGGTTTAGGGTTTAGGGTTTAGGGTTTAGGGTTTAGGGTTTAGGGTTTAGGGTTTAGGGTTTAGGGTTTAGGGGTGGGCCTGCAGAGCCTGACCAAAGTAGTGGCCCTGCTTCGCCATGTAGACGGCAGCTGCTGCAACAGCGCGTCAAACCCTACACCCTAAGGCTGTGAGCTCCCAGAGGAAAGGACCTGCAGTCCGCAGAGTAGGAAAGGACCTGCAGTCCGCAGAGTAGGGGGGAGGGGGGGGAGGGGGGCGAGGGGGGAGGGGGGGGAGGGGGGGGGAAGGGGGGGGGGGGGGGAGGGAGGGGGGAGGGGGGGGGAGGGGGGGGGGGGGGGAGGGGGGGAGGGTGGGGAGGGGGGGAGGGGGGGGAGGGGGGGAGGGGGGGAGTCTAAACCCTCAATCCTAAACTAGCCGAGCCTGCAGTGGTCTGCTTGCCGATATGCGCTGAGGTTTGAGACCCTAAACCCTAAACCCTGAACCCTAAAACACTAAAACCCTAAAACCCCAAAACCCTAAAACCCTAAAACCCTAAAACCCTAAAACCCTAAAACCCTAAAACCCTAAAACCCTAAAACGCTAAAACCCTAAAGCACTAAAACCCTAAAACCCTGAAACCCTCGGAGGTCATGTAATTTAGGGTGCGACTGGCCTACAAGGAGGTGCCCCAGAGCTGTAAACCTGTCTTTGCGGTGTCTGGCTTGGGAACAGCAGGGTTTAGGGTTTAGGGTTTAGGGCGAGTTTCGCAACAATCGTACTCATCGCATTGACAGCAATCATGGTACTAACGGTGATAGTAAATGATACTAGCCGTTAGGCATAACTTGGGCTATGGGTCCCTCGGCTAGACTTTGTGCAATGGGCTGTGGGGGCAGGAGAGCGGAGGTTTAGGGTTTGGGGTTTGGGTTTAGGGTTTGGCGGTTTTGGGTTTACCGTGCGGGGTTCAGTGTAGTCAGTGAAGTCGATGTGGCCCAGAACTCTTGCGCCGCAACGCACCCCGAAATTCCCAAACCCAATAGGCCCTAAATCCCCTCCCCCACCAAAAAACACTCAACCCCCTAAACCCTAAACCTTATCGACCCTAAACCCAATAAACCCCAAACCTACAAATACAAAACTCCAGACCCGGGTCTATGATGCCAGGCAGCACCGGATGAGTCCTTACGCTCCCTCGGCTTCCGCCTGTACAACGTGGCAAATTGGCTTTGGGTTTAGGGTTTAGGGTTTAGGGTTTAAGGTTTAGGGTTTAGGGTTTAGGGTTTAGGGTTTAGGGTTTAGGGCTTAGGGCTTAGGGTTTAGGGTTTAGGGTTCCGGGTTTCGGGTTCGGGTTTTGGGTTTTCATTCTGGATTCTCTAAGGGAGGTTACAAGGTCCCTTAACATTGGTTTTCACCTTCTTTAAAAGGTTCTGAGGTATGGGCCCTTGGGTATAGGATCAAGGGGTATATAAGGCTTCCCCAAATAAGGGCCCAGTTTAAGGGACCATGCAACTACCCGAAGAGATTCGTGAGAACCCCCAAGCTCTTGCTTGGCGAAAATGCAACGCCTTCACAAAGAGTATAGGTCTGCGGTTCGTAGTGTCCTGGCATTTTGGGGTTTGCAGGGATCAGGGTGTTGGGGGGCATGGATGGGGATGTATAACTTCGGCTAGAAACTAGTAGATTCAAGGGGGCCCCTAAAGGAAAGGTTAGGTTCTAGGGAACTTTATGCCTGGATTGTGAGGTCCGCCTAGCTCTAAAAACATCCCCTGGCAGTTCCTTAACCCTAAACACTAATCCCGAAACCCTAGACCCTCAAAAGTAATCCCTAAACTAAACCCTCAACACTAATCCCTAAACCCGAAACGCTAAACCCTACACCCTAAAGCCACGCACGCCTTGGCAGCCTCTTCTTTCAGCCGGGCGCGCTCCTGTCACGGATCGGCGCACGGGGGCTTGCTTTAAGAACCCCCCAAACACCCTGTGTTGTTCTTCAGGGTTTAGGGATAGGGTTTAGGGATTAGGGAGAACCCCTCCTAACACAGTTGATGGACGTTTGTTGTAGCGTACCCTGAGAATTCGATCTTAAGGGGCTGTTTGAACAACAAGCTGCAACAAAAGGGCTCTTTTGGGCTACTTCTTGCAAGCCCTCGAGTCTAAACCCTAAACCCTAAACCCTAAACCCTAAACCCTAAACCCTAAACCCTAAACCCTAAACCCTAAACCCTAAACCCTAAACCCTGCAATGAGGTGCAGCGGGGTCCTCGAGGACGCGCTGCTGATTCATCTCTTTGGCCTGCTGCAGATGCTCCTGTTGCGGCAGCCCTAAACCCTAAACCCTAAAATCCTAAAACCCTAAACCTAAAACCCAAAACCCTAAACGCTGCCTGAAAAACAGTGTACGTTTATTTCGGCCACTGCTGAAAGTTGCTCCTTTTTTCTGCAGATTTACGACACTGTTTAAAACAGCACACAAGTTCACGGCACTCTACGCTTTTTCCGGCACTTTACGCGTTCTTTATGCATGCAAAAAACAGCAACTTTTTGCACGGTGCCGCAGATTTCCAGCTTAGCTGGAAAGTGGCTGAAAATTCTGGCACCGCAAGAAGTAGCTGTTAATAATCGGCTACTACCGCGGTCCAGGTAAACCCTAAACCCTAAACCCTAAACCCTAAACCCTATACCCTAAGCCCTAAGCCCTAAGCCCTAAGCCCTAAGCCCTAAGCCCTAAGCCCTAGGCCCTAAGCCGCTCAGGCCGTGGGTGTCGTTCGGTCGCGTTTAGGGCACAGGTCTTGATGCTTCACAGCTGGGACTTTCAGGGGGGGGGGGGTGCGCTGAACCCTGAACCGCAAACCCTAAACCCTAAACCCTGAACCCTAAACCCTGAACCCTAAAGCCTACACCCTAAGCCTAAATCCTAAACCCTAAACCTAAACCCTGAACCCTAAACCTGCAAGCCGCAAAGAGGGCCCCTGCCTGGACCTAGAGTCTCCCAAAACCCCGGCACCCATTGCAGACTACTCCCCGGTTGTTCTAGGGTTTAGGGTTTGGGGTTTAGGATTTGGGCGTCTAGGGTTTAGGGTTGCACAACCCTAACGCGCGTCGACGTCTGCGGCGGGTCCTCCGTGACTGGAACGTCGTCCACGACTTCCAGACGCCAGTGACACACCAAGGCCTCACATTTCTCAGGGTTTCTTAGGCTTTGGGGTTTAGGGTTTAGGCTTTAGGGTTTAGGCTTTTCAGGGTTCTTCAGGGCTTCCTAGGCCTATAGGGTTTAGAGGTTTTCTAGGGCTTTCAAGGCTTTAGGGTTTATAGGGTTTTTAGGGTCTATAGGGTTGATAGGGTTTAGGGCTTGCAGGGCTTGAGGGTTTAGGGTTTTGGCCGCGTATTTGCTGGTGATCAGGAGTTTCAAAAGTATAGGCCCCAAAAAGGGGCCAACCTGAATATTCTCCGTCAGGCTGAAGGGGGAGATGGGGCTGAAGGTCAGTTCAGGTACGCCGATAAACTGACTTTCTGATTATGTGTGTATGTCTATATATATATATATGTACATATATGTGTATATATATATAAATATGTAAACACACACACACTTACACATACAGTTTTTCCTGCGGTTTACAAAAGGACCAGGCGTACTGTAGCCGACCACGCTATTTGAGCCGTTTGCTGCTGCCCGCTCATCTGCTGTAGCCGCAGACGTGTCTATATTGACTTCCGGAGTTTTGACCCTAAACCCTAAACCCTAAACCCCAAAACCCAAACCCTAAACCCTAAACCCTAAACCCTAAACCCTAAACCCTAAACCCTAAACCCCAAAACCCAAACCCTACTGTATGACTGCTGCAGTCCTCACACATCCAACTCACAACCTCGACAAGCCCAAAGAAAGCAAGCGGATCAAACCGCAACCTTCAAACCTAAACCCTAACCCTAAACCCTCGGGGGTTTAGGGCGCGGGCCCTCAACCCTCAACCCCAATCCCCAGCAAGCCGCCAGCACCATGGCGCTCGCCGGCGTCTCGGCAAAAGGATTGCCGGCAACCTGCCGTGGCGTGAAAGGTTTAGGGTTTAGGGTTTAGGGTTTAGGAATTCGGGCTTAGGGTTCCAAATGTAAAGCCTACCTTATGATTTTATGTCGATACTGTTCTACCGCTACATTTAGGCTTTCCGAGGGTGCGAATACATCGTTATTTGCAGTGTTTCGTGCACATGACATGCGTTTAACATCGGTATTTACGACACTTCCTGGCTTCGCTGCGTGCCAATGGCCAGAGCATCCAAATACATCGTTATTTGCCGTGTTTCCTGCACGTGACATGCTACAAACATCGGTATGTACGACGCTTCGTGGCTTCGTCGCGTGCGACTGGCCAGAGCATCCATGTCCGCACGATGATAACGTCCGTGTTACCAGAGCATCCATGTCCGCACGATGATAACGTCCGTGTTACCAGAGCATCCATGTCCGCACGATGATAATGTCCGTGTTTCCACAGCATCCATGTCCGCACGATGATAATGTTCGTGTGACCACGGCGTGCGAATGGCCAGAGCATGCATGTCCGCACGATGATAACGTCCCTGCAAAAGCATCGGTATTTACGACACTTCGTGCCTTTCTTCTGCCGGGGTAAAAAGCAGTTCTGCCTGCAAATGCACAACATTTCCGTGCAGAAATGTCGGGTTTTTGGGCTTGCAAGCTTGCCATTCCTCTAGACACTACCAGACATTGTTCGTGCCACCTCTCATCACCCGAACTGGACACGAAAAAAACTCGGGTTTTTGCTGCTTTCTGCTTGGTATTTCCGTGTTTCGGCGACGCCATGTTCAACCGGAAAAAACACGATTTCATCGCCCCTGCCATGCTTTTCAACAACTGCCCCGACGAGAAGCGGGGCAAACGATGGTGATGCGGCCTACATTTAGTATATTAGTATGTTGGAAGTTGTGCTCCTAGCGTACGATTGTACATGTTCTTTCATTAAGCCATGACATCGTTATGCTATTCTAGAGCTATATGATTACAAGATTATATGATATTGCCCAATTGGATTACTATGGTGTATAATATCATGTTATTCGATTATGCTTGTATGCTTATTACACTGTGATATTCTGCTATTGTGTAATTATGGTAAAGTGCTGCTACATTATCAGGTGATTCTGTTAGCATGTTAGTATGGTGTTGTTACTTTTGTTAGTACGGCATTATGTGATTATGTTACTGTGGTATTATGTTATTCTGCGATTATGTTCTTATGTTATTCTGCGATGTTGTCATGCCATTTTGCTATTCTGTTACTACGCTATTGCATTATTCTCTTTGTATGGTAATCGGATATTCTGCTATCATTGTATTCATACTGTGATATATAATTGTATTGTTTTGCCAGTAAATTAAAGACTGATGCTAGAAGTCTGTTCGAAGCCGAAGATCATGGCCCTCATTTGCAACCTTTCCAGAAGGTGTCCTCCCACCCCCTCTTCCAACTGCGGCGTTCGTGTGCCTTAAACCCTAAACCCTAAACCCTAAAACCTAAACCCTGAACCCGAACTCCTAAATCCTAAGCCACCAGCCCCAGCCCTGAACCCCAAGCCCTCACAAAATCGGCCTTGAGATTCCTCAGGAGTGGAAGCTGCCGCAAGGCCTGAAAGAGGCGTCGTGGACCCTCCGCGGTTTAGGGCTCCAGGCCTAAACCCTAAACCCTAAACCCTAAACCCTAAACCCTAAACCCTAAACCCTAAACCCTAAACCCTAAACCCTAAACCCTAAACCCTGAACCCTAGCGCTTCTAGGTGACAGGGTTTTGGTGGGGTTTATGGGGTGGTAGAGTCTACAGGATTATAGGGTCTTCGTTTCTTGGGGTTAAAGGCTCCATGTTGGGATGTTCTCCCTTATACGAACAGTCCTCCATGAGGCTTATAGTCGGGGATACTATAATCCCTATTACGGGCTGTTAGTATAACCCTAAACCCTAAACCCTCAACCCTAAACCCCAATCCTGCCTAGGGCTCAAACCCTGAAGACCCGTTTCAGGCACTCCAAGCCAGAACCAAGTTTGGGGCTCTAGGCTTTAGAGCTTGAGGTTTAGGCTTTAGGGTGTAACCCTAAACCCTAAACCCTAAACCCTAAACCCTAAACCCTAAACCCTAAACCCTAAACCCTAAACCCTAGGGCTTTAGAGCTGGCTTGCTCAGGCTCTGCTGGACGAACTTCAACTTGGCCCTGTCTCCCAAGCTTCAGTTGCTCCTTTCGGCGTGATGCCCCGGTACGCCTTTCTCAAGCATCCCCTACAAATCATTTACACCCAGCCTCGAGAACTCAGCGAAACGGGAACCGTAAGCTTAGTAAGCCGGTTTAAGGGTTTAGGGTTTAGAGTCTAGGGCTTAGGGTATATAAACGAATGTTCTCATTGCCACACAGATCGGGACCTGGGAGGGGCGGGGGTAGGGGTAGGTCTAAATTAAAGAATGCTGGTTTTGCTCAACCGATAATTTTAACCCCAACCCCTAAACTATCAGTTGCAAATGTCAAACTAGACACCGTCTTTTCGTCCTAGGCGTGGAGCCTGCAACTGTTTTCGCTAAACCCCCGAAGCCTGAAAACCCCCGAACCCCTTACATTTTGAATCGTTCAGGGCCCTGTACCCTGCTAGCTTAACCTTTCAAAGCCCTTGACCACATTCCCAAATAACTATAACCCTAAACATTAAACCCTGAATCCACTAAGGGATAATCTCCCAAAATAGGGGGTACCCCCTTTATACCCCAAATAGACCCCCTCAAAATGAGTCCCCCTATTTTCGGAAACTCCCATATCCAAGCATCCCAAGGGCTAAAACCTAAACCCTCAACCCTCAAGGCCCTGAACCCACCCGCTAATTAATTCATGTCAAAGCATCCCAAGGGCAAAAAACAGGTTCACCCCTCAATCTACAAAAGCCCTCAAAAACCACCCCAAAAACACCAAAGCTCAAAAACCCTAAACCCTAAACCCTAAACCCTAAACCCTAAAAAGCCCGGACCTCCAGCGGCTTTTCACTCTCAAGGAGGCACTTGGAGACGTCCAGAAGCCGGAGGGAAGCCAGCTCCTTCAGCATCGTAGGGTTTAGGGTTTAGGGTTCAGGGTTTAGGGTTTAGGGTTTAGGGTTTCGGATTCCATTCACCGTCTAACTTGAGTTTGCTTTGGGGTTTTAACTCGGATTCCCTCACCATCTAAGGGCTGCTGTTTTTAAGGGTGTAATTAGGGCGTTTCAAGGTTTTGGGCCTTCTTAAGGCAGTTTTTCCTGGTTTCATTAGGGGTTCGAGATTGTTTGAGGGCTTTAGAGTTTGGCTAGGGTTTATGGGGTTTAAGGTTTAGGATACTTTAAGGTTTAGGGCTTCGGGTTTTTGTTTTGGTTAGGGTTTATGGTTCAGGGCTCAGAGGGCTTGTAAGGTTTGTAGGCCCAGGATTCATAGGGCTTAGGGTTCCTGGTTTGGTTGCGGTTGGAGGGCTAAGGAATGTTCAGAAGGCTTGAGGGGTTTCAGGTTTAGGGTTTAGGGATGTGTGGGTCAATAGGGGGGGATGCAAAACTTAGTTGGCACCAGGGTTGGAGGCTGTCAGGGGTGAGCACCAATCCGAAAGTCCTGACCTTGCCCTGTTTGCCTGCCGCACTCCGTTCCCCCTGAAGCCCAAACCCTAACCCCCAAACCCTAAACCCCAAAACCCGAAACCCCAAACCAACTCCTTTGAAAGCCTCCTCCCCCCCCCCCCCCCCAAAAAAAAAAAAAAAGACCTTTTAGGGTTTAGGGTTTTGGGTTTCGGGTTGGGGGTCTGCGCAGAACTTGATTTCCAAAGCCCTGCTTTTGGCGTCGAAAGCGATGCATGTCTCGGTAGGTTTCCGGCGCATCTTGCACCTGTGCATGAAACATAAACCCAAAGAGCCCAATATTGCTGAAGGAATATTCCTTAAATCATAAACCCTAAACCCTAAACCCTAAAAATCCTTAATATGATAGGTATGTTCCTTCATTAAGGGGATATTGGGCGCTTTGGGGAAACCGACCAGGCGCCTGCTGAGGATGGAGGCCTGAACGTCGAGGTGCAGGAAACTGTTAAGGTTTAGGGTTTAGGGTTTAGGGTTTAGGGTTTAGGGTTTAGGGTTTAGGGTTTAGGGTTTAGGGTTTAGGGTTTAGGGTTTAGGGTTTAGGGTTTTGGGTTTAGGGTTTAGGGTTTAGGGTGTAGGGGCAAAAAAAACCTATCACCTCTTAAAACGCCCCTTTATGGGGTTGGTTAGGGGGATTATAAGGCCTAATAGCCCATGCTGGTAGGGCTTAGGGCTTGGAGTTTAGGTCTTCTAAGGAAGTTGTATTTGAATTTGCCTGCAGCTTAATCGTCAATCTGAACTACATTCCCCTCCAAGGGGCGTGTAGATTGGATTTGGAACCCTAAACCATCAACAGTTATACTGGGGCCCTTCCCTGTAGCCCTAAACAACTAACCGGCATCGGTTAGGCTAAGTCCTGAACCCACAAGCCCATAACTGCTACACCGCTAAACCTCAACCCCCTAAACCCCAAAACCCCAGACCCCTAAACCCTCAACCCCTAAACTCAACGACTCAACCCTCAATCCTCAAACCTGAACCCCTAAACCCTACATAAACCCTAAACCCTAAACCCTGAACCCTAAACCCTAAACCCTAAACCCTAAACCCTAAACCCTAAACCCTGAACCCTAAACCCTAAACCCTAAACCCTAAACCCTAACCCTAAACCGTACATAAACCCAAACCCCTAAACCCCTACATCCTACACCCCCTAAACCCCTGCATCCTGCTAAGCCCTAAGCCCCTAAATCCCCTAAATCAAAAGGGTTTTCCTAAACCCTAAACCCTAAAGCCCAAACCCTAGACCCCTACATCCTACACCCCCCTAAAAGGGGTCTCCCTAAACCCTAAACCCTAAACCCGAAACCCTAAACCCTAAACCCTAAACCCTCGGTTCTCTCTCCGCCTCAGCTGCCGCGAGTCGGCAGTTTGTTCTTCGCTGCAAGAAGATTCAATCCCAAGAGTCTCCGCAGAGCAGCAACACACCCTAAAGGTGTTTAGGGTTAGGGTTTAGGGTTTAGGGTTTAGGGTTTAGGGTTTAGGGTTTAGGGTTTAGGGTTTAGGGTTGAGGGCTTAGGGTTTAGGGTTTTGGGTTTAGGATTTGGGGTTTGGGGTTTAGGGTTTAGGGTTTAGGGTTCAGGGGGTGTTTAGGGTTTAAGGCTCAGGGTTGAGGAATTCGGGTGCAGCGTTGAGGGCTCAGGGGCTAAGGCTTCGAAGGGTTGAGGGCTTTGGGTTTAAGATGTTAACCCGAGATGTAGGCCAAATCACTGGGTAGCCCAGTATCCATGTTATATGTTATAATCAGGGCACCCTTTTTGGGGTTGGAGACTTTTATGGGAACCTAGAACCACAAGAAATGGGCAAAAGGGTACCCCTGGGCTACCGAGAACAGCACCCTCAAAGAGTTTTAGGGTCAGGGCTTATCCTAAGTGTCCATGTACCTAATTCATAGATTCAAGGGACTAAAG